TGAGACTATATAGAGGCAATCTGTACAAGATGCACATATACCAACATGAGACTGATCAATTGTAGTCATAAATAACAATAGGAAGATACAAGTAAAATAATATCAAGCGAACATTAAATCTATTGTTATGAAATCAGTTAGTTATAAATGATAAAGCTTAACTATAGTTAAACTGAAACAGTCGTCATCATTGGCATTGGACAATCGTCATATTATAGCATGTATTGATTAAAATTTTAAAAATAAAAAAATATGACCATTCAGGGGTCTAATAATTAAGTACATACTTTTATATGTGAACATTTTGTAGCTAATCTTTAATAGAATTGTTAATGAGAATTGTAATGTTTCACATGGTAAAACTAAGATGATCTATTTAAATATTTGGGCTATCTGTTCCTGTTATCTGGATATTTCAACAAGTTATCTGTTTTCTTGTTTGATTTAACATATCATGATTGCCTATTAGTTGTATAACCTTACTTATCAAGTGCATTTCAAAAAAGTTTACAACCCTTTCATTGTAACAAGTTAGGAAAAAACTTAATCAAAATCATTGTAGTTGTTGATAATATGCACAGAAATGAATGTAAATTGTTCAGAGATGTCAATGTACTGGACTGTTAACATTTAACTGGTGATCACTTAATGTTTCTCGTCAGGATCGACTAAGATGTAAGTAACGCAAACTTTTGGAAATATTTTGTACTGAGAATTATTCTATATTATACCAAAAATATAATATTGAATAAAGATAATAATAGTAATAATAATAAATTATCTCTCCAACACAAAACATTCAATTAGGTCAATAATTACATGTCAATTATTCAGTTAACTCTTGTTATTCAATTGACAGTAAATTATTCAAATATGAGGTTGACATTAATTTTCCTTCTTCTAAAATGAACAAAATATATCCAGTCAATATATCATAATGTCAAACAGTAAAACTTTTGTTATATTATAAAACTTTGTTTATCATTTCCCTAGTAGTTAAGCGCTCGTGAGCGAGACTGATAGGTCCTGGGGGGGACAGATCATGAATGCACATTGTTGAGGAGTCCCACAATAAGACGAAACGGTCGTCCAGTACTTCCAGGTTTTCCATGATGGTCTAGCTTCAATTGACTCATGATCTTAACCATTGAAATTACTATAATATCCATAAAATCCCTTCTGTTATCATTTCCCCGTTTTAAATTGCTAGTTTTCTACTAATAAGCTAAGTAATAGTTATTTTTTAATAGTGCAGATCATGGGTCAATTGAAGGTAGATCACCATGGAAAACCTAGAAGCACTGGATGGCCGTTTCGTCCCAACGTGGGACTCCTCAGCAGTGCGGATCCACCATCCCACCTCGCATCAATCAAAGCCAGGACCTATCGATCATACAAATAACATCACTAATTACTGATGATTATCATAAAAATACATAGAATCGATAGATGAAAAAACAAAGTATCTTAGCATTTCATTTATATAAATCAATCAATTTTACATTCTATTCACTATTGAACCCTGAATCATAATGATGAGTTATGAATGTTGTTCAACAGATGTGTATTGCTTTATTTTCGAACAGAATTTACTTATTTCAAGGTCACGGTTTATTGATTTTCCGTGTAGAACACAAAGGAATTTCAACACGTACACACACCCACACACGTATATATGCACACAATTATATATATATATATATATATATATATATATATATATATATATACGAACAAATAGGAAAAGAGAATACAAAAAATAAATTATGGAATGAAATTTACTATAAGGTGTAATTTATTGGTTATGTTCTTTTAGGTTACAAAATTTGCAATCGTCATGTTATCACATTCTATTTTTCAGAATGTGTGTAGCAAAAAAAACATGTGGTTACAAAATAATGCGTAAACATATTCATAATATAATTACACAAAAATAGTAATAATAATAATAGTCCAAAATAATTCAGAAAATAGTAGGAACTCTAAAAGATTGGAGCGTATCTGTTTGTATGCACACAGATACGGAAGAGATATCTTTACATTTTTAAACTAATAATTTGAACTACTTAATAATAATTTAGTAGATCAATTATATTCGTATAATTTTTAAATATAATTGAAGAGTAACGTTCAATGAAATAATATTAACAAAGTTGGTAGAGCACAATTCAAGGGGATATAAAGTATATGTAAAAGTTTATGTTTTCTATTACCTAGTTCATAAATTTATACATCTTAAAACTATGTAATAACTCACAATTAATAAATAGATATGTTAATAGTTGAATTCACAAGTTAATCTATGGTTAGACTATGCTAGACTGCAATTTTCAATAATGGTCTAGTTTAGATCGATTCATGAATTGAACTATTAAAATTACTACAATCTCCATAAACCTCCATTCTGATAAAAAAAAATAGATACTTGTAAATATATTTTTAACAATAAGCAAGGAATTCATTATTTTAACTAAATGAATTAAATATTTGATTAAAGTCAGTTATCAAGTGACATTTTCTAGGTTGTCATAATTAACTGAGTTAACTCTAGACAAAATTATATTCTGAGACTAATAATCTAGTTTATAAATTTATACGATACAATGAGATAAAACAATTGATCTGATAAACCACTGATAGTATTAGTAGATTATATTTGAAAACCATATGATCAAATTCACTTGGTATTGTTTTAATTGAATCTTTCCATTGATGTTTAGGATCGTAATTGATCAGTCTGTTATTGGAATATGTGCGAAATGTACATATCGTCTCGATATTGCTTTAATTCATAGGCATTATAAGTAAAGATGAACAAAGTAGCTAAGTGAATAACGAGATAGTGTTTGAAGTGAACAGTACTGCGTCTGAGTCTCGGAGTGAACATTAACTCTGAGAAGCAGGTACATCCAGTTGACGAGTCCCAAAATGAACGAAATATTCGTCGTGGATTCTACCGCTAATCACTATCCATTTTTGTTTATAATACTTGTGAATTAAGACAATATTGAGGCAAACCGTACAGTATGCACATACAGCGATAAGAGATTCAAGTAAACAATACTAAGGGAATTCAAACTTCACCTCAATATTACAAAGAAGTGGCTGTTATGATTCAATGGCTAAGTGGATAATGCGATGATGTTTGAAGCAAACAGTAGTTTAGTTCATTCAAAAGATTTTATCATTAACGTTTTCCATTGATTTATTTCGATTAGCTATGAAAAATGATATTACACTATTTTTGAAGTAACTACCTGAAATAAAACATTCAACAATGAAGTTGTGTGATTCATCTTTAATTAAAAATCATAACTGTTTTATTTGGTCAGATAAATGTTTATGGTATGCAGTCAGTCATACTTAATGTAGAATGTAATACGATTGTACATTGGGTTAAGTTCCTATACTAGATTAGCACAAGTGAATAGGATTAATACCAACAACAACAACAACAATAAAAAAATAATGTAAGAGCAAAGATAAATAAAAGAGCAAATACTGTGGACATGGTAAGAACTAGGAAGAAAGGTATCAACATCACACTTGACGGAGAAGCTTTGAAAGATGTAAAAACCTTCACATATATGGGCAGCATCATTAATGAACTCGGTGAATATGATGCAGATATGAAGGCGCGGATCGGGAAAGCAAGAGCAGCATACTTACAACGGAAAAACATCTGAAACTCAAAACAACTGTACACAAGCCAACACCAAAGTCAGAATTCTCAATACAAATGTCAACACAGTTCTACCGTACGGGGTGGAAACTTGAACAACTGAGAAAGCTATCACCCAGAAGATACAAGTGTTTATTAACAGTTGTCCAAGCAAAATACTCCGGATACGTTTGCCAGACACATTTGGCAACAACCTACTGTAGGAGTGAATAAACTAAATCGAAGTGGAGGAAGAAATCAAGAAGAAGCGCTGCAAGTGGATAGGACACCTAACTGCGTCACAAGACACGCCCTCACTTGGGAAAGAATGAAAAAAAATTCGGCAGAACTAGAAAGGAAGGTCCAGGATAGAGTGGGTTGGACAATGATGGTCGGTGGTCTATGCTCCATTGGGAGTAATAGGCTTAAGTAAGTAAACAAATAAAAAATAAAAATAAAAAACAAGAAGATACGAACGCGTAATGATCAATAGCGATAATCAAAAATAAATTTACAGTTCTAATACACGAATTGAAAATAATTACGGTTTTATCCTAGAAACTTTATATTCTATCGAGTCAAAGGAAGATTACAATGCAATACCTGACCTGTAACTAAATAACATTATTATTTAAGAAGAAAATTACCTCTTGAATAAATTTTTATAAAACTGAATAAACACACAGGGGTTTCGTTGAAATTATAGTAATTTAATAATTGAATTCATGAGTCGAATGAAGCTAAACCACCATGGTAAATGTGGAAACACTGGACGGCTATTTTAATCAGGTCTGTTGTGAGATAGTAACTCGCTGAAGACAATGATGGACGGTGGTGTAATTTTGTGAATTAGTTGAAGTTAGTTATTAACACCATTAGATGCCAATGGTCTAGAGGTTAAGCGTTTGCGCACAAGTATGATTTGTCTTGGGTCTGAATCTCGCAGGGCGGGATTGTGGATGCGCACTTCTGAGTAGTCCCATACTAGGATGAAACGGTTGACCAGTGTTTCCAGGTTTCCCATAGTGGTCTAGCTTCAGTCGACTCATGAATTCAATTATTAAAGTGAATAAACATTATATGCTGATTTATTCAACAAACAAGATATATATATATATATATATATATATATATATATATATATATATATATATATAACGTAATCAGTAAAAAATTTCTAGCAGAAACATTTCTACTTTATTAACCCATCATTTAACCTGTTAATACCGATCTCGTCTTAATTCTTATCAATTGTATACGGAGGATAAATAAAAAGTACTAAGAAGGGAGTTATTTATTATTCTGTTAATATATTTTTTCATTGTTTTTCTTTTCATAGAATATGTCATCAACTCATTCAAATAGATCAACCCCAATATCAAGAACACCTATCACCGTCACTACTACTACTACAACAACAACAACAGCCTATTCTTATCAACATCCTGATTATTTAGATAAAGAATCATTGGCTGCAACCAAAATTCAAGCTGGTTATCGTGGTTATTGTACACGTAAAAAATATGGTAATTTATCATTGAATTCTTCATCACCAACATCAAATTATAATATAACATCTAATAGACAATTATATACTACTACACATCAATCACCATTAAGAAATAATAATAATAATGATTTAGAGAATGCAGCTACACGAATACAAGCTAGTTATCGTGGTTATTTAACTAGAAAAGCATTACGTGATGATGATAATATTACACATAAATATACACCAATCAAAAGTGTTTCCTATCATGGTGATAAAATATATAGAAGTAATGGTGGTGGTGGTGGTGTTGGTGGTGATGAACATGATGATGATATTGATGGAAAAGTCAAAGCAGTAACTAAAATTCAAGCTGGTTATCGTGGTTATAAAACAAGAAAATCATTAGCACCATTATTACATCATGATGATCAACAAAATTTAATATCAAATAAAGAAAATCAAAATTATATAAAATATAAAAGTATTAATCAAGAAAGAAATAATAATAATAATAATAATACACATTATTTATATGATCCTGAATTAGCTGCAACTAAAATACAAGCAACATTTCGTGGTTATAGAACTAGACGACATTTACCTAAGTAATTATAATCAATAATAATAATAATAATAATAATAATAAAAAGCATACCTAAATATGTATTGCCCTATGATTGAACAATAATGAACCATCTTCTATCATTCATTCTTCTTATGACCACAAATATTCAATGATATGAATGAGTTCAAGTCTTTGACATGTTCAACTCTTAAAAAATACTGAACAATATTTGCATGCTCATTTTACGATACATTTGCTCCTTCTTCTTCTTCTTCCTGTTTTTTTTTGCAAAAGGATGTCTTGTTACTTTACAATGGTAATAACATGTTGTGTACAATTATTACTTCTTTTTTTTCCTTTTTTTTTTTAAAAAAAGAAACAAAACAATAATCATTTCATTCAATTAAAAACATATAGCATTGCATATTTACAATGATAAACTCATCAGTCATTCATTTAGTTGAAAAATGTAACAAAAGTCACATAATGTTATAGATTCATTCAGTTTATAATAACGTTTCTTTTTTGGCATTTTAAATTTGGGGGTTTTGTTTTCTTTTTTTGTTTTCTTTTTAATAAATACAATAATGATGTGAATAACAACATAAACGTTTCAAATTACTTTCTATTTCTTACTTCAATAATAAATATAACTCAATGTCGTGGATTAGTTAAAGTTGAACATTAATACTGTCTGTTGGATGCCGGCCAGATCAATGGTCTGGTGGTTAAGTGCTTGTGTGCGAGACTGATAGGTTATGGGTTCGAATCTCACGGAGGAAGAGGTCGTGGATATGCACTGTCACTGATGAGTCCCACAACAGAACGAAACGGCCATCCAGTGCTTCAAGGTTTTTCATGGTGGTCTAGCTTCAATTGAATCATGATCTTAACCAGTGAAAAATATTTATGTATTTAGATGATTGTAAATTAAAATGTAACTCATTCTTTTAACACAAGCTTATGTAGTTGAGATTGAGCTGTATTGTTCGATTGTCTGTGAAATGAAAATAGGTGAAATAAATATTGAACTTGGGTCTTAGTTGGAGTTTGACACGAATTCTTTGATAAGACTGAATATTTCGTTCAGTCAGAATACTTGTAGAAAACATCAGTCAACTACAACGTAGAATCAGGTACATATATGCATCCATCCAAGTTGCCATACCGCATTAGCACAACAAGATGAACACCGGATTTATAGAAGCAGTTATTTCAGTGGTAATATATAAAAGAAAGATTGCATATAAGGATATAGTACAGGAAGAAAGTTAGTTCGTAGATAAAGAGATATGAAGCGATTTTAATCTCATAGTTTAAGGGAAGACAGAGAGTGTATACACTCACGCAATTGTGATCGATTCTGAGACATGTCACCCAGAGTCCCCCAACCATTGGTTATGATAGTTACGCGGACATAGATTGTGGTCAAACTATTTCAATCATTACTTATTCTGTTACTTAATTCAACATGTTTCAAGAAGTTACTGTAGTTTAAAAGCTGTAATCTAATACTACTATTCCCTTTAGTTAGACGAAACGTGAATTAAAGCTTCAACTCTAAATTGATGTTCATTTTTTCTATTTGGTTCAGTTGTGCGAGTAGTCTGATGATATAGATAATGGATAGAATATTAATGGTAAACTTCAAATAGAAAATATTGTGGTGTGCGCTACTTGTGTCGACAAACATAAGTAGTATGTCACATTGACCGAAAGTGGAATACCTGGTGGCAGAATGTTGAGAAAATCGAATGAGAACAGAAAGTGATTGATACGAAAATGAAGGAACAATTGATGAACATTTTACAAATGAAGTATTAACGGTATGGTTTTGACATTTTGCTCAATAACTCTATAAATTCGTGTTAAATTGCATCAGCTTTCTTCCCTAATTAAGTTCGCGTTCATAGCCATATTAGAAGTTATTGCTTCAAAATCAATTATGTCAACTAATAAGCTACAGTTCATATTCAGTGACTGATTTTTTTACACAATAGAGTTTTGCAAAATTATCATAATCAAATGATAAACCTGATCATATTTATTCCAATTACTTACGCCTGGAGCCCCTTTCCGGGGGCTACTGCCGGTCCCAAGCCCGGATAAAGGAGGAGGGTTGAGCATGGGGTTAGCGACCCCATTCCGTAGAAAACTAACTCGCTAAAAAAAACGCTAACCAGAAAAAATTATTCAAACCATTTAAACTCTGCCCTGGGAGTCAGGAGGTCTTCGTTTAGAAGAATTATGACGCCTCATGATGAAAGCCGAGTTTCTTCGGAAGTCACGAGGCCGATGCCCCTTCTGACAACCAGAGCAACCATTTATTTAGGTACATGGAATGCTCGCACAATGTGGGAGACTGGGAGAGTTTTACAAATTGCTGCAGAAATGAGGAGATACAATTTAGAGGTGCTTGGGATCAGTGAAACCCATTGGACGCAAGTTGGACAACAACCACTAGCTTCAGGGGAGCTGCTGTTATACTCCGGACATGAACAAGAAAATGCTCCACATACACAAGGAGTTGCATTGATGCTGTCCAAACAAGCACAAAATGCACTTATAGGATGGGAATCTCATGGACCAAGGATCATCAAAGCCTCCTTCAAAACAAAGAAAACAGGGATTACAATGAACGTCATCCAATGCTACGCGCCTACCAATGACTACAATGAAGACGCTAAAGATCAATTCTACGATAGGCTGCAGTCAATCGTCGAGAAGTGCCCAACAAAAGACCTGACTATTCTGATGGGAGACCTAAATGCCAAGGTTGGAATTGACAACACCGGATATGAAGAGATCATGGGACGACACGGACTGGGAGAAAGGAACGAAAATGGTGAGAGATTTGCAAATCTATGTGCCTTCAATAAACTGGTCATAGGCGGCACTATATTCCCACATAAACGCATACACAAAACCACATGGACTTCACCGGATCACAGCACACAGAACCAAATCGACCATATCTGCATCAACAAAAAGTTCAGGAGGACGATGGAGGACGTGAGAACAAAGAGAGGAGCTGATATAGCATCAGATCATCACTTGCTGGTCGCCAAGATGAAATTGGAACTCAAGAGGCACTGGACAACGGGGAGGACAATATCCCAAAAGTTTAATACGGCTCTTCTTCGGGATACTGACAAACTCAATAAATTCAAGATAACCCTCAGCAATAAGTTCCAAGCCTTTCATGATCTACTCAATGGAGAAGGAACTACTATGGAGAGCAACTGGAAAGAGATAAAAGAGGCAATCACTTCAACATGTCATGAGGTTCTGAGCCAAAAGAAGCACCATCACAAGGATTGGATCACGGTCGATACACTGGATAAGATTCAAGAAAGGAGAAACAAGAAAGCAGCAATCAATACCAGTCGAACAAGAGCAGAAAAAGTCAAGGCACAGGCTGAATACACAGAAGTAAACAAGCAAGTGAAAAGGAGCATCAGAACTGACAAACGTAAATATGTGGAAGATTTGGCATTGACGGCGGAAAAGGCTGCGAGAGAAGGAAACATGAGACAACTGTATGAAACAACAAAGAAACTCTCTGGAAATCACCGTAAACCAGAACGACCAGTGAAAAGCAAGGAAGGCAAGATAATCACCAACATTGAAGAACAACGAAACAGGTGGTTAGAACACTTCAAAGAACTCTTGAATCGACCAGCCCCACTGAACCCACCCAACATCGAAGCAGCACTCACGGACCTCCCAATTGATGTTGGCGCACCAACAGTTGAAGAGATCAGCATGGCTATCAGACAAATCAAGAGTGGCAAAGCAGCAGGACTAGACAGCATTCCAGCAGAGGCACTGAAAGCAGACGTAGCGGCAACTGCAAGGATACTCCAAACTCTCTTCAGAAAGATCTGGGATGAGGAACAAGTACCAAAAGATTGGAAAGAAGGACTTCTAGTCAAAATACCAAAGAAAGGCGATCTCAGCAACTGTGACAACTACAGGTGAATCACTCTTCTTTCAATACCAGTAAAGTCTTCAACAGGGTATTGTTAAACAGGATGAAGGACTCCGTAGACGCACAACTTCGAGACCAACAGGCAGGATTCCGTAAGGATAGATCGTGCACAGACCAAATCGCAACTCTACGGATCATTGTGGAACAATCAATTGAATGGAATTCATCACTCTATATCAACTTCATCGACTACGAAAAAGCATTTGATAGCGTGGACAGAACAACACTATGGAAGCTTCTTCGACACTACGACGTGCCTCAGAAGATAGTCAATATCATACAGAATTCCTATGATGGATTAAACTGCAAAATCGTGCATGGAGGACAGTTGACAAAGTCGTTCGAAGTAAAGACCGGTGTCAGGCAAGGTTGCTTACTCTCACCCTTTCTCTTTCTCCTGGTGATCGACTGGATCATGAAGACATCAACATCTGGAAGGAAGCACGGGATACAGTGGATAGCTAGGATGCAATTGGATGATCTAGACTTCGCAGATGATCTGGCTCTTCTATCGCATACGCAACAACAAATGCAGGAGAAGACAACCAGTGTAGATGCAGCCTCAGCAGCAATAGGTCTCAATATACACAAAGGGAAAAGCAAGATTCTTCGATACAACACAACATGTACCAATCCAATCACAATTGACGGAGAAGCTTTGGAAGATGTAAAAACCTTTACATATTTGGGCAGTATCATCGATGAACACGGTGGATCTGATGCAGATGTGAAGGCACGGAGTGGCAAAGCAAGAGCAGCATATTTACAACTGAAGAATATCTGGAACTCAAAACAATTAGCAACCAACACCAAAGTCAGAATTTTCAATACAAATGTCAAGACAGTCAGTTTTACTGTATGGGGCGGAAACCTGGAAAACTACGAAATCCATCGTCCAAAAGATACAGGTGTTTATTAACAGTTGTCTACGCAAAATACTTCAGATCCGCTGGCCGGACACTATAAGCAACAACCTACTGTGGGAGAGAACAAATCAGATCCCAGTGGAGGAAGAAATCAGGAAGAAGCGCTGGAAGTGGATAGGACACACATTGAGGAAAACACCGAACTGCGTCACAAGACAAGCCCTCATATGGAATCGTCAAGGTCGAAGGAGGAGAGGAAGACCAAAGAATACATTACGCCGGGAAATGGAGATAGATATGAGAAAAATGAACAAGAATTGGATGGAACTAGAAAAGAAGGCCCAGGACAGAGTGGGTTGGAGAATACTGGTCGGCGGCCTATGCTCCATTGGGAGTAACAGGCGTAAGTAAGTAACGCATCTCACCCTGTCCAAAGCTATCCTTTCCAGTTGTCATTCATCCTTTTCATATCTGCTTCTATTTCCTGACGTAATGTTTTCTTTGGCCTTCTTCTTTTGCGCTTCTCTTCAGAATTCCAAGTTATGGCTTGCCTCGTGATGCAGATTGGTGGTTTTCGTAATCCATGTGCTATCCATTTCCATCGTCTTTTACTAATTTCCTATTCAGCTAGAAGTTGGTTTGTTTTCTCCCAGAGAAGGCTTTTGCTCACGGTATCCGGCCAATGGATGTTGAGTATCTTGAGTAGACAACTATTTATAAATACTTGTAACTTCTTGATGATGGTTGTAGTAGATCTCCAAGTTTCGGCTTCGTACAGTAGAACTGGCTTGACGTTGGTATTGAAGATTCTGACTTCGATATTGGTTGGCACAGTTATTTTGAGTTCCATATAATCTTCAATTGTAGGAATGTGGCGCTTGCTCTGCCAATCCTCGCTTTTAAGTCTGCATCTGAACCTCTTTGTTCATCGATGATGCTTCCCAGGTATGTGAAGGATTCTACAACTTCCAGAGTTTCGCGATTCAGAGTGATTGGATTGGTGTTCTCTGTGTTGTATTTGAGGACCTTGGTTTTCCTCTTGTGTATGTTGAGGCCTACTGATGCAGAGACTGTTGCTACACTGGCTGTCTTTATCTGTATTTGTTCGTGTCATCTGATTTATGTCAACTAATAAAAGCTTAATGAGTTGTACAACTGATAAATTATATCAATGTTAATAACAAGAAACATTCTACTTAACCTTAATTTGATTACGAAACATAATCATAGTCTCTCTTCTTATCTAACTACTACTACAACAACAACTTTTATTTATGGATTGTATTAAATTTCTGTAATTCAAGTTACATGTGATATAATCACAGATATTGCAGTACGATGTAAATACTTCCCATATTTTATTTTAGTCACTTATAGAATTTAACAGTTAATTATTCATTTAAAAGTGCAAAAGAATTCGAACATATAAATACTTTTCTTATTATGGGGAATTTGTGAAGATCGGTAGTATTTTCACAGTTGAAATTCCGAACTGATCTTAGACAGATCACCATTGAAAACTTTGAAGCACTAGATGGCCGTCTCGTCCCAGCAGTGTACATCCACAAATCTACCCGTGGGTACCGAACACAGGATTACCCGTTTAGCGCGAGAACGCCCAACTCATAGACACTAAGCTTGGATCCAACAGCGTCTAACTTCAATCAATCCATAATTTTGTGCAAACCTTCATACATTGCCCGTGGTAAATAACTGTCTGAAACCCGAACTAAATCGATCTACACTAGTCACGGCTTCTAACCATAACTCTAAAGTTGTATTTTGTAGTTAGTCACTAGACAGAACCTAATTGTCATTAGTAAGGCATATTTGTGGTATTTTCACAGTTGACATTACAAGCAGTCTTATATTAGAAAGAAACGGCCGTCAAATACCTCCAAGTTTTCTACAGTGCTCTAGCTAAGATCAGTTCGTGATTTCAACTGAAAAAGTATTTGACTATCAAATTACATTTCATTAGTTTATGAACATGTTCTGGTGTGTTTTTATTATCATCTATATCATAAACAACATGAACGTACAAACTTTTTTTTGTATACTATATGTCAGATTTGCTTACGATTTATCTTGTACATTATCAAATCACTGAAGTACACCTAAAGTTCACTTGGTTTAAACCTCACAAAAATACTTTCTACCACTTTAGCACAGTGGTATAACTTATCAAAAACAATGTTTTTAATTCAATATATAAGGTCGATTATTACTAACTGATAATGTGAATAATACGTTTGTGGAAAACTAGAAATTAAGATAAAAAGTGTTATATAATCAGATCTAAACGTGGAACAAAACAATGTAAGAACTGTGCAAATATTTAACATTTCAATAGAGAAAACTTTCTTCATGACAATAACATTTTCTACTGTTTATCAATTCTTGACATGGTGAAGATTTATAGCTCAGGTGGATGATTTTTATGAAGTTTTGTGATGTCTTGCAAATTGAATTCGGTCCCTAAGCTATTCTTGAAACCCCCAAGCTAGAACTATACAGCGACCTGAACACGAGAGAAGGCCCAAAGTATGCGAGTACTTCACTCCAAAGGTTCGTTTTAATACAGAAAATATAAGGTTTTTATAATATTTTAAATGTTCTTAGGTTGCTCGAAGAATCTGGAATGCTACTAAACATAGTAGCAGTATGGCAATCAGAACCTTTACATGTGACGTTTCACTTCCTTGATGTTTCTGGCTAAACCATCAAGTGAACGCTGATTGGATGACATGCTTCTTAGTGTTTGCCTGATCCCTGCTTATCTTTAGCGAGAAATTTTCTGCATCACCCCAACATTTCGTTCTCGGAACTGAATGCTTAAGTTGTGAAGATTTCTCCACTCATCTGAACGACATCATCAGCACAAACTTCTACCTGAAGTTTGTGTTGCTGATATTAATTCTCTATTTTACTGTACAAAATGATATGTAAGTAATTACCTATAGAAAAATACGATTGTATTGCTTTAGAAATTGATATGGTCACGTAAATTTTCTTCACTGAAAGTCTTGATTCATTTCAATGAATCAGATTAATTGTTTATGACGTTATAGAATTACAAGTGTTTAATACAATAATAATCAAATACATACTTTAGAGTCATAACACAACAATGTGACGAAGACTAGTTATATAATTGTACACAAGTGTACGCTGATAGTCGAGTCAACGCTCATGAAGAACTACTACATAAATTAAAAACATCGTCCGAGTTTTCTCCTTCAACTAATTCTATTAGACACATTCATTAAAATGAATTCCTTAATGGCTAACAAATGTAGAAGATATTCATAGGTTTATAGCTGGCTTCAAAGCATCGCTCAAGTATGTTGCAAACACTGATTGAGAAATAACGGCTTAACAAAAACTACTAGATAACAATGGAAAGCTAGTTGATGAAACCAAGATAGTTAGATCATATATATGTTCCATAACCACCTACTTCGACGGGCGATGTTGTCTTATGCAGTAATAGTCTGAGAGAGTTAGGGGTAACCAAATCAAGAAGCGATATATCGGTTCATAAATTCATTGAATGTTCAACAGAGTCATGTAGATGAGTGTAAACTACACTATTGTGGTTCACGAGATGATCGTAACCAATGGTTTGAGATGCATTCAATTTTTATATTTCTTTTAGATACATTTTAATGTCACATCTATGAATAGTTATTTTCTACTATCATTAATCCTATTACTACTTTTACAACTCTACAATGTCGCTGTGATTTGGCAACTTGAACTGATTAACTTATCGGCCAGATACTACATTATATATATATATATATATATATATATATATATATATATATATATATATATAACTGATTGTTATTTGACTCACTGTACTACTCTATTGTATTAGGGGGGGATAAGGAAAATGAAACATAATGACTCAAATAGTGTTATACTCTTTCCGAGGAAATAGTGTTTATATATATGTATATATGCATTATTTCTACATAATAAAAAAAAACCAAAAATGAAGAGAGAATGGGTGTCGAAAATATTCAATTCACTGAGTATTATTGTCTTGTTTTAAAACAATAAAATAATAATAATAATAACAATAATAATAATAGTATATAAATAAATAATAATAAAAAAAGCCTGAAGAGATCTAGACAGAGATAGATGTATGTATGTATATATGTATGTTTATTGACAGACTGATTGATTACAAACTTGTATTGATAATAGTAATGTGGGTGTGTGTGTGTGTTTGAGTAGCGAAATTAAAACTAGTAAGAGAAGAGAGAAAAGTAGTCCAAGATAAATTTAAGCACACATTACGAACAACAATTAAGGAGAAAACGAAACGAAACAAAACAAACAAACAAACAAAACACCTTTACAGATAAACACACATACTTTGAGTTACAGATTTTTCTTTTTTCTAAAAAAAAACAAACAAAACAAAACAAATTACAACAAGTTTACATTTTATTGTCCATCCCTGCTTTATTCATATTGTAATGCATATATAAATATATATATATGAAGTACTAACAATCACAAATTAGCCTGATAAGAGATAATGTACAATATATGATGAATATAAATAATAAAGAAAAATAAGTGAACGTATAATATACCTCCTCTTTTTGTGTACTTTCAAATATAGACCAATCAATTATGTGGAACATTCATGACAAAAATACAAGAATTATAGAGTAAAGAAAATAATAAAGAAGAAAAATTTGAACAGGAGAGAGAGATGGCGCTCCACTGTATATGTATAATAATAACAAAAGACATATATTGTAAATAGATAAGTTTTCTATAAAGTTAAAAATAAAAGACATTCATGAAGGCGCATTTTTTAAAGGTGATATACATTTTCAGGGCTATTGTTGTTATTGTTACTACCACCACCACCACTACTACTACTACTAATACTACTACTGTTGCTTGTGAAATGCTCTTCGTGTAGACAAACAATGTCCTTTTTTAAAAAAAACAAACGGTAACCAGGGTGGAAGAGATAGTGAAAAGGCGCAAAAAATAGAGCATTAAAAATATTCAGTATATATATATATGTGTGTGTGTTGAATCAGAAGAAAACAATGGCAAAATAGGCTAACACCCTGATAATTGCATATATAAAAATGATTACAAATACATTTATAGATAGATAAATAAATAAATAAATAAGAAGAGGAAAATAGCAAATATATCTATTGTTTTAAATATACAAAAGATTTCTTTTTATAAAGCAAAACAAAACAGAAAAGAAACAAACTCATTATCAACTTTCAATTTTAATAATAATAAACATAATCGTAGTAATTAGAAATATGACCAACAATATGATAGCTGTGTACAAGTGAAAAAGAAATATAGGACAGGTTAGGCAGGTGATGATGATGATAATAATCATAATAGTGATAAAGTGCAACAAGATAAACATCATAATGATAAACTCATATGTATATATGTAGTTAAACACACCACATATACCCCTAGAAAGAAGAAGAAACTCAAAAATTCTGGAATGAAAAACCAGATAAAAAAGAAACTTTACTTTTATCTAATGATATATATATATATATATTTGAATCAGAAAAGAAACATCAAATTTGATGTATACACATCTTTAAATATTTACCAGCACATCTTTGACTCTGTGTGTGTGTGTGTGCGATAGAATAAAATTTCGGTATTTACACTATTTAGTATTGGATATATATATATGTATCTTAGAACGACAACGACGCTTATCTAAACATGATCGAAAACATAGAAACTGTTTACTGATTACACAAAATAAAAAATTTTAATCGATATAAAGATATCTCAAATCAATAGATGATGACCAACAACAAAATTTGTTTACCAATACCGCACAGTTACATATAGATATATATATATATATATATATATATATATATATATACACATACACATTAGCCAACATTCATTATGCATAGAACACAGTAATCAAAAGTAATGTAAGCGAAATACAATTCAGTCATAATTGATGGGGTATTATTTTATTATTATTATTTCAGTATTGAAAAATAAAATAAAAGAATAATGATGAGAAGGGAACCATTCTGTCTTACATACCACGTACATTGAAGATAATAATTTATAATCGATAAGAATTAAAATTATAATGAAAGAGATAAAGAGAGAGAGAGAAATGTCTAGAGAAAAATACTGTTTTTTGAAGAAGAAAAAGAAAAAAGAAGCAAAACAACAACAACAACAAAATCGATCATTTTATTCATCCTTTAGTCGGATAGACAGACAGGTAATCAGGCAAATAAAGGATAAATAGAGAAACAGACGGAAAATGACATTGAATAAGAGGGAAATAAATTTTTTTTTTAACGCACGTTATGTATTATCATTTCAAATGAGAAAAAGAAAGAACAGTGTAAACTATTCTGAAAAAAAAAATTAAGGATTAAAAACGCCAGTCAAAGAATTTTTGTTTTTGGCAGAAATCAACAAAGTGACAAAGAAGAGTAAACAATGAAAGATAAACAGACATATAAAAAGAATAGATATAATTTATTAAAAGAGACAGAAACAAAGACAATAAGATAGAAATCAACCAGGAAAGAGAAAATGAATGAATGAATGAAGACAACAAAGCATTTATAAACAATAAATTCATTTGAATATTCCTAACAGAAACAAAACAAAACAACAACACAAAACTATCGAATTAATGAAAGAGAAGACAGTGAGTGAGTTTTAGCCTTGAACAGTGATATTTTTGTGTATTACACCAAATATATATTGTAATTAAAAGAGTGAGTTTATAAAATCCAGAATAAAGACACTAACACAAGATGTGTACACAGATTGGTGCCCAAACTGGGTCGTGACACTATAGATGACGGGATAAAAAAAATATTTTAAAAAAAAAACAGAGAGAAGATAAATAAGACCTGGTTATATGTGGTATGTTTAATTCTTTTTTTTCTCTTATACTAAGAATAGTGAATGAGATCAACCAACTAGCCAAGCAGTTGGAAAGAGAACAAAATATTGCTATCACCTGGACAAAAGAAGCAAACAATCTATGCAGTTTTTTGTAATGCACTATAAACAGACAAAAAATAATCTTGTTATCGAAACACTTGTTTATGTATAACAGTAATAGTAAATTTACTGAGTAATAGTAATAATAATAAAATATGTCCTGAATATTTGTGTATATGCGAGAAATAGGGTGGGTGTACACTTTGTATACTACTTAATAAATGTGTGTACATTGCAAAATAGAAAAAGTTTAAAAGATAATAACTAAGGCAACTTGATTTTACTGACAAAGAAGCAATGCACAAAGTATCAGCTGATACACATACACACACACACGTAACCGATGCCATTTAAAATACAGGAACACAAAACATGTATACACATTTGATGTACGTAAGTGTGAACATATAATTACACTGGTCATTCTATTTAGTAATAGTAGTAGCAGTAGTATTGATATTATGAATTATCTCTACCTATATATTATATTTTAATTGTCAAAACAGTTAATGCACCTGAATACAACCGATATTACGCAATTAACAGTAAAACCTCATCAGAACGATTCTGTAATATCTTATTGAGAAACAGAAAAACACCAGAGGAGAAGTAAAAAATGAAGGGTCTGCTAGATAAACGAGCATGATTGTTGATGAGGACAAGTACAATAAAGATGAATGTCAAAAAAGAAAGAATAAAATACATTGTACATGATGCGCAACTTGATATATTGCTTTTCCACACTATTCCATGATGACTTTTAATACAAAGAAGAAGAAGAATATTGATTATGAAAAATAATAATGAGAAGTAATATAAAAATGATCAGTTCTCTTACAGCTATTGAATATAATATAAATGAGAGGGAATATGATTTAGGAGGGAGTCAGGGCGTATACAAATAAAAAAATAATTAATTAATATGGCAATTATGTATAATGTTAATATTTTCATCAAATGTAGAGGTTCTAATATTCAGTTAGATAAAAGAAAATAAATAAAAATATGTATGTGCATGCATTGTTGTTGTTTTAATTATCGTTGCTGGTGTGTATTTCTTTCTCAAATAAAAAATACCAAACAACAACATACTGATGACACTATCTTGTAACAACGACAATAACTGCAGCACCAGAAGTAGTAGTAGTAGTCAAACATTGGTTTGTAGCATTCAATATTGAAGGGGACGACAACCTTGGTGATGACGATGTGGATAGTTTAACATTACTATTATTCAACAAAGTCAATTGAGGTTGTTGTTTGATAGGGATGGATGATGCATCCACAGTTAAACACTGCAATTCATTTGTTGTTGAATTATGATGATATTCTCGTTGTTGCTTAGCTGCAATCATAATCTCAACTAGTAAACAAAAAACAACAAAAACAAATGACATTATGAAAAATAAATAAACTATAAGAACACCGTAAAAATGATAGACTACAATGAAATAATCCGCATAAAATGACTGTAAATTTGATATTACCACCATTATCATTTAAGGATTTCTTTAATCTAATGCCCCCGAATGTCATGGTACGTCCGAGAGTGGGGAGAGAGTCAGATCTCCCTCTCGAAATGCTCTCACATGACCACGTGCATACAACCACTGATAGAGAAGTCCTACTCACTACCCTCTCACGGCACTACTGTTGTTTACGAAATTGAGAGGACGAGTGTCTGGCGCTGTAAGTGGGTTGGTAGTGGGTACGGAAAATCCACCTAGGGGAGTCAGAAAACACTGATTACAATCCAATGATCAGCTCCACGATCCTGAAGGAACAGTTGGTGTATTAAACAATTATTGGTGACCGGTTAACATGGGACTGCTTCTCCTTACGGTGCTCCACTGCCTTGTGGATCAGACCTTTAGATCAGAGGCTCGGGTTGTGGCCCCATTAGGAAACCAACTGGCCTTCACATTAATCGAATGATTTATGTGGCACATATGTGTTTAGTGCCTCCTTGTACCAATGTTCATGTGTATAGGTAAATAAATAATAAATAATAATCTAAGTGATAGCATTAGCAATTCATCTAGACTGATTGGAGGTATATGGTAGGAAGACCTATATAACCTCCGGTGTTTCGTGTAGAATCATCATGAAAACTGAAACAGTGTCAGTAAAACATGAATGGATGGTCATACAGTTGAGGAGCTTGACTTCTGTGGACTTTTCAGGAAGTTATAAACTTATAACAACAGAGATTATAGGAAATGTTTTTCCTACGAATGGTAAATATATTTGCATAGGATATCATTGATACACCTAAACATTTCATGAAATTAACATATTTCTGACTTCAGTTGATGGATTTCTTGAAATAAAAATGCAACTACATACGTATTGAAAACTCTTCGAAATGAATACAGTTTAAAATGGATTCAAACACATATATACACACAAGCACACATCAACACTTACGATCGAATACATCATTGATCAGATCATCCGGTAATAAATTCTCTTCATTTTGTTGTTGATATTGGTGTTTATAATTTGACTGCAACATCGATTCTAAATGAGGATCAATAATTGTAGTAACAGAAGTATCCTGAGATGCATGATTAGAATTATAAGATATTGTTGATGAATTAGATATTGTTGATAGATTTCTGTGAAAATTTGAATTACTTGAATAAGTATTGAAACAACAATCGAATGATCCACTCGTTGGATTTATTTCATAATAATGATTAACTAAAGTATCCAATGATGATGATGATGATGTGGAATACGCTAATTCTATCGATTGTTGACATGCAGACAGCGGCGGTGGTGGTGGTGACTTAAGGTAACCAGATGTAGTACTGGAGCTTGGAGAAGTATTCGCTGATACACTGATTGGTGATAAACTATTACACGGTGTTAAGGGATAAACAACATTTGAATGATTTATCATCAATGCATTATTATTACAATACGATGAATCATTTCGAGTGAAGTAATTAAATGTATCAATTTTATTATTATTGTTTAACTCGTTGGTTTTGTAACTATTTGGAAAAACCTGAGAACGATAACTATGAGCTAAATGAACTGATTGGGGATAAACAGTATTATTACACAAAGATATATTATCCAAGTTAGAGTTGATTTTCTGATGTTGTACATAAACAGGTTGGGGTAAAGACCATTCAGGACATTGAACTGAATTCATAGGATTTTCAGTACAGGGTATATTAGAATATGCGTTCTCATTATGTGCCATCAAACTACTAGATGGTACCCTTGAAACATATGACAATGAGGAGGAGGGGGAGGAGGTGGCGGTTGGAGAGGATTGTTCAAATTCAGCTGAAGAACAAGCTTGATAAGTATTAACTGGGAGAGAGTCATCGGAGAATTTGTTAGATACCTGAGAGCATTGAAAACTACTATGATCATTGTCAGTAGTAGTAGTAACAGGAACAACAGAAATACTTTGATGGACACGCTGACGATCGACTAATCCTTGATGTAGTTCAGCTTTAACTAAACAACTGTAACATAAATGTGAGGGGGGAAGAAAAACAATAAAGACCAACATGTAAATTATTTGCTGAATAAACCATGTTACTTGCAAAAATGTACCGTACTTTTATAGAATCGAATTGATAATTGACAGTATTAATAACGATTTTTATGGTGAACCTATATTATACAGATCAACTTGAATAACTATGAATTAAGATGACAAAGACCGCATCAACTAAGCTTGACAATAGTCAAGAATTAAGCGTTTTTCATTTGAAAACTGCTCACCTTTGATTCAAGCGACAAAGAAGTATAGATTACCTTAACACAGTAAGTATTGTCTGAAAATTGAGTGCCAAAAAGCGTACTTTATCAATGGAATTACAGTAAATAAAGTATTATCCCATTTGTATTAAGTCAGAGTACACATACATGGTGAAGAAAAATCATGTCGTGATAGTCAACGATCTTATGCCACCATATAAAAAAACAACTTCAAACTCAGTTAGTAACGCGATCTCAGATGATTGTAAGGATTGATGAATGACAACTTTTGCGACGACTAAACCTTTAGTCGCAACACGCTAGAGAATCGAAATTTAATTAAATTTCAAAATGTATATTGGTACATTCCTTATTTTATTTATTTTTATTATTTTAACACATAGATATTGATACAAGAAGGCACTAAATACATATGCGCCACGCAAATCTCATTTGATATGTATGAGGGCTGTGATACTGCTCGGGTGCCCAAACCGAAGCAGATGGTTTTCTTAGGGGGCCACACCCCGAGCCTTCGACCTGAACTTCTGACCCACAAGGCAATGGAGCATCGTAAGGAGATGCAGTCCCATGGTAGCCGGTGACCAACGATTGGTTCATACACCATTTGTTTCCTCAGGATACTGGAGCCCATGTGTACCATTGGTACATTCCTACATATATAGTGTTGGATATCAAAAAGATTAAACCCAATTTCTATGTTCAAAAACCTTCTACATTCCACGCTCAATGACCTACTCTTGTAATAGATATTCCAATTAGTTAAACACAGTCTAGAACCAGGTATATTCGGTGCAACAACTCAACTTATTACATCAGATAGGTATATCCCGATGAAATTATTAAAATAACTACCACAGTAGTGGAATTAGTAATCTGTATCAAGGAAAGTACCATAGTTTAGTTTAAAAAACATGATTTAACAAGAAAAATGAATTTGTGAAACAAAAAAGACAAAACTATTTTCGCACTCAAGATCTAAGGAGCAAGGAAAAGTGAATGGATATTCATTCAAGTGATTGATGAAATTATTACAGTAAAAGTACCCACTCTTTTATATATAGATATCCGATATTCAATATAAAGCCAAGAACATTTATAAATACTTGCTTTATTTAAATTTGTCAAGGGAAATAACCACACAAACTGAAGATATATCAATGTACTCAAAGTAATATAAAGTTACAAATGTTCTAATGTATCAGTTGAAGGGTGAATGTACAAACTGTTGACAGAAATCACAATATTGCTAACTATTGAGAACGTGAGTTGATATTATTATGATCAAACAAATAGTTATGTAATCTGATTATATATACTCACAAGTTATATATATATATATATATATATATATATATATATATATATATATATATATATATATATCAGTACATACCTATTATTATTATTATTATCCACAAATGGAAAATGTTTTTGGTTAAGTAGGATTGAATCTTCCCTTGAAATTTTCTTCGGATTGTTTATAGATGATAAGTTACCCACTGTAGATGGCAACGAACCAATACTACCTGATTGCAGCACAGCTGTCTGAGAATTATGAAACAATGCTGATGTTGATAATGGTGTAGCAGGAGTAATTGTTGTTGTTTTAGCTATCATTTGATGCTTAGCAGGTGGTTTTTGCACTTTCACTGTACTTCTATGATGCAATGTAGGGTAAACATGAGGGGTTTTATGTGCATTACTTAATTGATGATTATCAATTGTAGGGATTGGACAAGAAAGCTTGATAGAATGCAACGAAAAGTTAATCAGAAAAGATTTATTATTATTATTATTATTATTATTATTATTATTATTATTATTATTATTATTATTATTATTATAAAGTAGGTAGTCACTTTAGTAGAATAAACATAACCGATACACATGTGTCAGATTCTATGTTGAATTTACTATGACTGTAAGTAGTAGCATTATCCTAGTGTTGATATGTACAACGAAACTAAAACTATTATTAAAGCCACTCTACAGACATCAACTTAAGAGGAAACAAAGACGAACCAATAATCAAGATATTCTAGAAGACATGTATAATTTATATATAGTAAATCACGTAACAAAACGGTTTGACGATATCAGTATGTCAACTTACCGGACAAACCACAAATCTCATTGATTCCATGGCGAGACTATAATTTATGGACAAACTAATCACGTATAAGATAACAGGTTTTGGATTTCGGACCGAAATTCACACATCCATCTGGCTAAATAGAGTTTTGTTATTATAGCTAATGTCAGTTCGTGATGAAAACCCTAAATCTAATTTTTAACTGTAAATCACAATTCTAATTGCTCACACTGGTTTATAAACCTCTTTTGGTTCTAGTTATTAGGTGAATACTCTCAAGGTCACTTTAGAGTCGCTCAAAGGCCGTCCATAAACTATGGTCTCACCGACTCCATAAATGCTAACGCTTTCATTTTCTATAGTAAATTTGGTAAAATACAGAATATAATGAAAATAATTTTATATCTTAATGAGTAGGGAAATTGTATACATATATATATATATATATATATATATATAACTGTATGGTAACTAGATTATGTATATCTATATTCCCTTTATTATAAGCTTCATTTTGACCCATATATTATAACTTTACGACTCATTATTCAGTTTATTGACTACTGCCTCCCACGTTCACAGCCACTTTTTGGCTTTATTGTGTACAAATGTTATTTCCTACTTTATGGTGCGTCGCGGTCTGTTTGTTTGGTATATAAACTTAGTATGTCTGAAATAAATGATTCGATTCGATTCGTTTAGTGGAAGCTGGTATTGGTGTTCTGGACTCAAGTGGACGGGCTAAGCGAGCGTAAGACCAAAAAGAACGCTAGGCTGCTCATACCGGTCGAACGTCATTGATATGGCACAAGATTTCCTTTATTTCTAGTCAAAAGTTGTGAATAGTATAGTTCAGAGATAATAGGAATGCAAGAATTGCCATCAATAACATTGGATGATCGACACGCAATAGCATAAAATGATTCAAGTTGAAATTGTAACATTACAAATCGAATAACTGATTATGATGGTTACACGTTTGTTCCAAGACTTGAAGGTCTTGGGTTTAATTGGTGATTAGGTTGATCAGTGCACACCGCTGAGGAATATCTCACTAAAGTAAAACTGTTGAATTGAGCCTCAACTAAGATCAATCTATGACGGATCCAATCTTAAAACAAAACTAATCTCCACAAGAATTAAAGGAAATCCAGAGAAGAACGCTTTTCATTGAACAATATCACTTAAGTTGTACAATCATACTTATAGTGATTTAGTAAATAAGTCATTAAAGAAATAAGAATAGGATTAATTGTTTGGAAATTACAGGTATCAAAACTAGATTGAATGATAAAAGGAAGCCAAAATCTATGAGGGATAATTATCCATTTGATGAGTATGAGATAAACGAATAGTATATTTAACTAAATGTGAAGGTGATAATAACAAACAACTAAGAAACTTAATAAACTACTGAAAAAAAGGTAATAAAAAATTACTTATTAAGACCATAGGTAGAATGGAAGTTAAAATGTGCCATTTCAACTTACTTGTACTTGTACATTAGGACCAACTTCTTTTAAAAATCGAGATAAATCCTCTGGACGATGATGATGATAATAATGATAAAAATTAGCACTTCTAGATGTTGAACTAAATGAAGGTGAATTCGATGAAATCACTGTTGTAGCATTTAAATTCAATAAATTTGCATTCATATTTTGTGTACTAGTAGTAGTATCTAATGATAAAGATTTCCTAATCATTGATTTATTCGGAATAACATGTAATAAATGATAGGTTGGATTATGATCATTATGACTAGTTGTTGTAGAAATGATAGTATTATTATTAGTAGTAGTAGAAGAAATGCTAAGAGAAGAAGGTAAATTTTGTATGCCATACATATTTTCATTGACAAAAAATGTATTCACTTGAGAATTCAAATCCGAGTTCGACATAGGATTTCGATTAGTTACGGATGAATTCAGTGAATACACAGCAACTTGATTATATAACTGATGTTGGATAAGGCGCTAATTGAGGAAGAAAATTATAAAAGTAAAGAGTATACACTATATAAAAAAATTGATGAAACATTAAAGACACTATCATAAAAAGATCTTTAATTCAGAGTTATAGTTGAAAACATTCACAATAAAACAGAATATTCAACTGCAGTTCCCAATGTTTTTAAAGATAAATTAATTAGGCTTATATTGTTATTGATTTACTAACAACAAATATATTACACTAACCTGTTCGACAGTTAACCTATTTTCACAAAGTCAATAAGTTTCACCACTTACAAAACATCCCATTGACTTTACTAATAAATTAATTTACAAAATTCAGTTTATGAAGACAGTGGTTACTAGATTGAGTTGTGTAAATAGGTCTGGACAACCTAAGAGAGATCCACGAATGAATCATGGTCAGTCAATTTTTGAAAGAAAAAAAAAACTTTCTCAATTAACTAATTCACTAGATGGCCCCCAAACGCCCTGGTACGGCCGAGAGAGGGGAGAGTCCACTCTCCCTCTCGAAATACTCTCACATGGCCATGCGTATATAGCCTCTGCCAGGGAAATCCTACTCACTGCCTTCTCGTGGCATTACTGTTGTTTACGAAAATGAGAGGACGAAAAGCGAATGTCCGGCACCGGCTTTAACCGGATCCCAAACCAATGGTGCACATGGGCTCCAGTATCCTGAGGGAACAAATGGTGTATGAACCAATCGTTGGTCACCGGCTACCATGGGACTGCATCTCCTTACGATGCTCCACTGCCTCGTGGGTCAGACATTCAGGTCGAAGGCTCGGGATGTGGCCCCCTAAGAAAACCACCTGCTTCGGTCTGGGCACCTGAGCAGTATCACTATGTTAAAATTGAGATTTGTGTGGCGCATATGTATTTGGTGCCTCCCTGTACCTATACTTATGTGTTAAAATAAATAAATAATAATAAATAATTCACTAGATGAGTATGAACCATATTCCAAGTGTAAAAGTTACTGATACTTGTCGGTTGCCCATAACGAAGTGGATAGAAAGGGATTCGAACCGGAGACTTATTGGCTAAAAGTCGAACACTCTAACCACTAATAAACAAAACCACACAAAATGGTTTAGATACATTCAATATATGTCTTCTCTTAGGTCTTTCATTTCAAAACTATGTTATATTTTTAAATCAATGAATTCATACTTTCTCAGAGAATATTATATATGAATAATTTTTTTCTACTACTAAGACATTTAAAATAACATTAATTTTGTTTACTCTTTCTTAGATGAAATCATGTAAAATAGTATGTTAACACTTTTCGCTTTTAGACACAAATAAATCAACTAACTAAATAAATAAATAATGAACTTACTTTACGTTGTTCGGCTAATAAACGTTGATTAGTCAATTGATTACGTTGACTTGCTGCAGCTTGTTGACTAGCTAATGCAGCAGCTACAGCAGCTCTATTCACAACATTCGTAATAGTAGTGGTAGTAGTAGTAGTAGTAGTAATAACACTACTACTATTATTATTATTATTATTGTTTCCACTATTATTACGTCGTAGTATATTATGCCCATTACCACTTGTTGTCTGAGGTGAATAACTTGACCATGTTGTACAAGTTGTAGTCATTAAATTAGTCATTACTATTTACATAATAAATAAATAAATAAGAGAAAGAAAGAAATTTTCATAAATCTGTTAAATTCTAGAACAAAAAAAGAAACAATCATAGAATGATAGGTAAATTTACAATAACATCAATTTTTAGTCAACAAACGAAAAACTTTAACAGAATCAATGTACTTTAGAAAAGATACCAAATAACTAATAGAAAAGTAAAGAAAAGAAACAAAAAAAAAGAAAAATATTACTATGCTATCTATCTATCTATCTATCTCTCTATCTATCTATCTATCTATGTACAATAACAAATCAAAGTGCATCGTATTTAATTTAAATGACAATAACAACCAAACATTAAATTAGCATGAGATTTAAACAATTTTAAATAGTACAACTATTAGAAGTAAAATCAACATCAAACAATTGAACACGTTTCATTGTGTTATAAAACAAAAGCAACAGTTAGAATTACACTGAATTTATATTGGGGTACTTTATTATTATTATTATTATTATTATTATTATTATTATTATCATTATTATTATGCATAATTAATAATAAGATTAGAGTATTCACTTTTCAATGCAAACGTCAGTTTCGAACACTATCCCATCAATCTTTGTCTTTAGAAACAAATTTGTATCATTAGTTCTCCTTATGAATAGATTCTAGGTTAAAGTTGAGTATATAAACCTGTAGTTGATAAATGAATTACTGATGATACACACTGAGAAATTTGAAGATCTTAAAGTTCTCATTTTCTCTGTTAACTAAGATAATTAATAAGCATTTCTACTGAATGTTCTAACTCTAGAGGTTAATAAAGGGTTAATTATTCCATGGCTAATTGATGAAGAGAGAAATAATTTAAATGTGTTTTATACAGTTTGATGATCTAGTCTGAAATACATTTGATAATTTTGTGCATAGATATCGTAAGAATGTGAAATTTCTGTAGCCATTGCATGTCACTGAATCATGGAGATATACGAGCTTTTTGAATGTGATTTCACAGTAGAATAAAGAAAATTATGTGATGGTAAATGACGTGAAGAACCAATTAGAAGGACAATCGATGGTAATTAGAAGTGACCTAAAACAGAATTGCATTCGATTGGCTAAGAAATGGGTCGATCTTCCAAGGATAGAGTGGTATTTTATCCCGTAGCTAAATACATATTCTCGCTCAAGTAATCATTTGGGGTATAGCACGTAGCATATCGTGTATCAGTACCAGATTTTAGACACCGCCCATCACAACAGTAGACAGAAATTTTAATTCATTAATATATATATATATATATATATATATATATATATATATATATATATATATACAATAACAGTGAAATGATTACAGTAATATGATGGTTCATCACCATATATTACCTAAGCTAACCCCGTTTGTGTGATGCCGGTAATGTAAGCTAAATACTGATTGTATTGGAGGGATTTATTTCAAACATTCGTTTATCCAAACATTCAGAATAAGAAGCGGGAAAGCGAAGAGAAGCGGATCGGAGAAGGCGAGTGAGCCAACTCGATTCGACCAAGAGTAACTCAATATTTTTAATCAGATAAAATTAAGTTACAGACACGTAATGAATAGGTTAGGCACTTAACACAAATACACTCATATAAAAACAGCATTAAAAAGAGAATAAGTGGCTTGAGTAGAATGTATAAACCAGTCTGTCCGGAAGCTAAAATAAATCATGTGGGGTCGACTTAGTACCAGATACCACAATGTGACGGAAGTAAAAGGTTTTCCTCAGATAACCATAATCTGGAGTGACGTTATCTCCCGACAACGAAAAGAGGAGTTTAGAACAGGTCGACTTTATAGAAACCTCACACCTCATCTTATTATCCCATGGACTTCGGGAGTAAGACCTTTACGGTATAGAGCTAAAACATAAAGAACCACTAACAAAAAGGCCCTATGTGACCTTTTTGTGGTTTAGTATACTTATCAAGTACCTCAAGGTATACTTTCACAATGTGGGAAACTGGGATAAAACAATTGTCTACACACTTCTAAAATCACTCGAGTACACCATTTTAACGATCAAAATATCTAACAAAAACTCCCTAAAAGTGATCAAAATATATAACATCTAAAAAATACAACAAATTACCTGGATCTTGCACTGAAGAAGTATGCTTTAATGATACTATTATATCGTTTCGCGAAATTGAATAGTCAGGAATATTGCTGGATAGTACAGAAGTACTACTATTATTATGATCATTAATTTTTACAGAATATCCAGGAAATTCTGTTACAGTACCGTTGTTACTATCATTATTTGATGATGTGACTGGCAATTTTTCCGTAACTAGACCCTGTTGTAATTGTTCACAGATACGTGCAACAGCCTTAGCATCATTTTGCCAATTAACTTCATCTCGATTAACAAAATCACCATCAACACTAGTCATATTATTATCACCAAGATTATCGATTTGATGATCAGATATTGATGTGGATGAAGAGAATCTAGACCTTTTAGAACTGGGCGATTCACTTAAATATGACAATGAATTATTATTGCCAGCTTCTGTACTAGTAATAATAGAAGTATTGATCGTAGAAGCAGTAGCAACAGCAGTAGTAGTATCACATTGATTAGGATGACAATACTCAACATTTTTATTATTTCTTTCTAATTCATCTCGTCGTAATATCTCACATAAAATTTCCACTTCTTCTGATATCTCTTTCGATGAAGTGGATGGATGTCGTTTGGGCAAATCTAAAGATGAAGAACATGATGAACATGTATTGCGATTATTCTCCTCTATTAGAGTATCATTAGGATTAGTTATTGCTTCATGGATTAACTGTTGTAGATCATCATCATTCCATTCGACTGGAGCTATTGAATATGACGATGGTGGCGGTGGCGGTGGGAGTTGTAATGACGGACAGCTGTTAGTAAGATCAGTAGAAGATAACCCTCCACAACAACTACTAGTAGTAGTGGTAGTACTAGTAGAAGTACTAGTAAGTAATCTACTGGAAGACTGATTGTCATTGGCAATCGATGTGATTTGTAAGCTTTTAAAAATAGAAGGGAATCAAGTTCGAATTAGGATAGTATAGATAGGTTGGAATATCATATCTTATAAAACAAGACACCTGTTTACCATACTAAAAATAATGAAAAGATGTTTTGATGATTTAAACACCATAGTCCCTATATTTCGGTTTAAGCAATTGTTGTATAGTATCATGAGATCTACCAATGAATCACATTATATCATAAATTATGAGGAATGTAGTTACTTAGATTGAATGCAGCTAGCAACCTTACTGAATTACAAATAAATTATCATATAGTGTAGAAAGGAAATGGTTTTCTTTTCCCACTTCTACAAAGATCTGGAAAATCATACATTTTTCACTACCAACAAGTTACAGCCGCTGTGCATCCAATGTATCTGCTTAATCATGAGATAATGAGGGAATAATAATCATAATAAGATGTTAGCAGGATAGAATCTTGACTACTGAACGTTTTGATCAGGTTCAAATCAAAATACAATGATTGGTCCTTTTTTTAAATAATCAGCTTTCGCGGATTGATTGAGACATCATATGTATGAACTCTAATACCCTTACTACATGGTCTTCTATTGTGAATGTTACTGGAAGATACATTGTCGGTTTTCCATTTTTGTTCAGACTTGGAAAGAGTACAGTAAAGTATTGTGGTTCAGAAATACTAGACAGCAATAGAATAAAACTCATTTGTCTGGTAAGTCAGTCAGCTACAACGGAGGACCAGGCACATTTATGCATCGGTCCAAGTTGCCATACTTCATTCGCACAACAAGATCAACACCGGATTGGTTAAGTCAGTGGTGGTAATATATAAAAGATTGTACATAAGGATATAGTACAGAAAGAATTAGTTGGTAGAAAGAAAGACATGAAGCGATTTTAATAGCTTAGTTTAACTGAAGACAGAGAGTGTATACACCTACACCATTGTGATCAATTCTGATCAATGTCACCAAGAGTCTCCAACCATTGGTTACGATAGTCACGCGGACCCCAACCAGGCATCTACCAACGTTACCCAGACCAGAAGTTAGTGACTTCAAGCATTAATGCCACGTTTTGATTTGGCCGCCCCTAACTTTATTCCAACCATCACCTACACTAGTCCTTTCAATTCTTTAATTATTTTAATAGGATCTCAGTTTTTTACAATACTAAACTATGATATCTGCTTTTTCTGCTTTGATATGTTAAACTAGGTAAGTAAAAATTGATCAGTGACAAAGGAAAGACAAAATTGCATTGATTACATTTCAGTGACAGATTAGTGGAATCGACGCAGTTATATAGAACGCTAATTGAGATTCAAATAACTTCGTACTGTAACTGAATGTGGTAGGGATTCAAATACAACGAGAAGCAACAGTTTTTCGCAAAACTCCAGATATGTTCTGCCACTGTTAAAAATAATTTAGTATAAAGTGTGAATTTAAGCGCCTAGTTAAGATTATCATTATGGTTAGGATTAGTGACATTGAACAACTACCTAAGAAAGGCCTAGCGCAATCAGTATTCAATCAATAAAAACCAAGGTAAAACCTGGAACGTATGTGTACTACTCCCAAGTTGCTATAACACAGTCAGATGAAATTATTAAGATGACTACCATAGTATTAAAAGTAGTATAAATGGCGGATAGTGTGGAACCCAACAATGTAGTTTGGAATCAATCAATAAATGTAAAAACTGTCACAAACGTACGTTCGTCTAAGTTACCATATTAGCACGACAAGATGAAATTAGCAAGGTCAATAGCGAAGAAATGGAAATAATATAATAACAACGATAGCGAGAAAGACTAGTCATTTTCTCTCTATAACCTATATGAACGACATCTCAAATTCCTTTGGCAAGAGTAAACCTTTTCTGTACGCCAATAATCTTAAGAGAGCGAATTTATTTTTACTCATGAAAAATTGTGTCTATATATATTTCAACAAGCTAGTGTTTTCGGTGAGCAAAATGAAAATTGAAATTTATTTCTGTTAAATGTGGATGGATTTGCTTTTATAACCCTTTTCTCCATTTTGATTACACCATAAAAAAGTATTATAGTGGTTTAATATAGTGGTTAAGGGTTCAGATATTCTAGCAATCTAGACTTCGTAGAACAAGTCTCAAACACAGACTTTGTTGTCTTGACAAATTTGAGTTGTTTACTACGTAATCTATGTAACAATGACCAACGTATCTTAATGTACAAAGTATATCCACGACCGCTTCTACAATACTGCGCTTTTATTTTGAGTAGTGTTCGATTAAGGAGTAATCTTACGTCGGAATCTGTCTATCAGTGCTTTACACTTCTTATTGTTAAGATCGATAATATTTAAACTACGAATTCATACGTATTGAGAGCTAGGACTTGACCCTTTATACAAGAAGTAACTTGGAAAAAATCTGATCTTTTTTCTCGAAATACTGAATAAACAATGTTTTACATCTGATCGCTTAGGTACATTGTATCAAAAGTGAAATCGTCTCATTATAGTCAGTCAGTCAGTAACAACGTAGAACTTCGTAGGTACGTACATTACTTCGACTTGCCATACCACATTATCACATAAACAATTGTCGACACAAATCCCGTAATGGTAAAGGTAGTAAGATTATAAACAGTAATCGAAAACAATAGGGTTTGAAGATGTTATTCAAAAAGTATAATCTATTGAAATAAATTTGGAAAGAGAAAAAGAAAAGGACACGAAGAATTCAGAAGATTAGAATTTGGGAGAACACAAAGAGTGAATGCACCTGCGCCATTGCAAACGATTTTGAGCCATGTCATTCAAGGTTTCTATCATCTCGCGGTCCCCAACCAGGTAGTCTACACCTACCGACATTGCTCAGTCCACTTGTCAGTGACTTCATGGATTCTTGCCATGTTTTGGTCTGGCCGCCCCTAGCTTTCTTCCAACCTACTCCTACACTGTTAAAAACATCACACATCTGGGTAGTGGGTGGTTGGGCATACGTAACACATGTCCCAGCCATTTCAACTGATGAAGTTTTACTACTTCATCAATTGATTTGCCATCCTTACCTAGTACCCGTTTCCTAACAACTGCGTTAATTAATAGGTGGTACCGGGATATACGAGCAATGCTTCGAAGACACCTATGATCAAACACTAGTAAACTACGAATATCCTCTACTCTTACCGGCCATGTTTCACTGCCATAACGCAGGATGGGACGAACTGCTGTGCATTAAACTCGACCTCCGGTTGGTAGACGGATATCACGCCTACGCCATAAATGACGCAAGTTGACAAAAGCCAGTCGAGCCCTCTGTGTCCGTTCTGAGATTTCATCATACACCAGACCACAATGGCCGACCAACTTCGTAGGAATGCGAAATCCATCAATTTAGTCAACGTCGCGAGAAAAGCGTTCTACAAAATTAGAGAACTTATCTCAAATGAAACCATGCTTGCAAGATAGGACATCCAAGCATGCATTAGTATCACAGTAGATTCATCCGACTCGGCAAACCAAAGAGTCTTACTACAGTGGGTTAACCACACCTGGCAATTTTTAGCATTGTAAGTGAATCGAGGTACAGTACATTCGACTGGACACTCCTAGCCATGTATTATACTGTAGAGCACTCTCGGCACTCTATGGAATGTTGAGAACCCACACTATTTACCTCTTACTTCCATTAACTCATCTTCAAACAAGTATTCCTCTCGAGAGTCTCGACAACTGGACTACATTTCGCAGTTTATTCCAGATATACAGCACATTTGTGGGGTAAAAAATGTAGTTTCAGCCGCTTTGTCTCATATAACTTCCTTAAACGGTTACCAAGGAATCGAACATCTGAAACTCGATCAGTATCAAAAAGAAGACATTGATCTTCAATAACCCTTAAACTGCCCATTAAAAAGATGAGAACGTACGTAATACATAATCCAATCACTTTGACAACTGTAGACCCACAGACTTATTAACCCTATTTACTATCTTTGCTCAATAGTGATCAGACAATATATATATATATATATATATATATATATATATATATATATATATATAAATTAACATGTGTTTGGATTCATGTTTTAAAAGTAAAAGCATTCTCCAGCTAGGATAGATTCCATATATCACGATGTTCATGTGACATAGACCGAAAATAATCAATCAGTGTCGATTTTTATTTTATCGTAAATCTTGTTGTTTATAGTAGTATTGTATACTATTTATCGTTTTTTTTTCACTTTCATTTCACACTTGAAATCGAATATTTTACTTTATATTGATTTGAATTATAATACTATGAAACAACATGAATAAAATGAAAGAATACATAACATATAAACAATTAATACTTCAAGTATAATATATAAGATGATCATGATCATGAGAATTGAGTATATAACTTACTTCATTTTAAAAGATGATATATTATCATTACTGTCATCTTCTTTACATTTATTAATTGTGGATAAAGTATTATGATTCAATGATAAATTTGAATAATTTTGAACATTAGCCACAGCATCTGATATTTCTTCTGGTTCCAATTGTGCATCTAATAATAATTGACATATACTAGATTGTCCAGGTATTAAATGACTAGTAGAATTATTCTCTGAATCTTTACTTGTTTTTACAAGATATTTCTCTTTATTTTCTAATTTAGATTTTATATTAGAATTGGGTGATAATGTTGACCAGGAATATGTTGATAATGTATTTTCATCATTAGGCTGATGATCAGAAGATGATGATGAGGAGGAGGAGGATGATGATGATATTTGTTTACTGACAGTAACATTATTTGAATGGATGAATAGGCCTATTATGGTAAATATTATAAGTAAAGTGATACGTTATACAAGTACAAATATTGTCTTGTCAATAAACCGATATAGTTCAATATATAGATTAAAATGTTAACCTTTCTAACTACTCAATAGAAATAATAGTAATCACTTAAAATCATTAGTGTAGGATTAATAATAATAATAATAATAATAATAATAATAATAATAATAATAATAATAATAATAATAATAATAACCATAGTAGTACTCCATAACAAAAGTTAGTAAGAATGAAATCCTAAAAAATCTATCGACTCTGTTTAATGTTGAGTAGTTAGTTGAATATACATAGTGTACAATCACAGACTGAATTTAACTAGACAACCACTGGAAAAGTATGAAATAATTAAATAGTTAGCTATCATTTAGGCTTGCCCCCAAATGCCCTGGTACGGCCAAGAGTGGGGAGAGTCCACTCTCCCTCTCGAAATGCTCTCACATGGCCATGCGTATATAGCCTCTGTCAGGAAAGTCCTAATCACTGCCTTCTCGTGGCATTACTGTTGTTTACGAAAATGAGAGGACGAAAAGCGAATGTCCGGCACCGGCTTTAACCGGATCCCAAACCAATGGTGCACATGGGCTCCAGTATCCTGAGGAAACAAATGGCGTATGAACCAATCGTTGGTCACCGGCTACCATGGGACTGCATCTCATCACGATGCTCCACTGCCTTGTGGATCAGACGTTCAGGTCAAAGGCTCGGGGTGTGGCCCCCCTAAGAAACCCACCTGCTTCGGTTTGGGCACCTGTGTAGCATCATAGCTCTCACACATATCAAATGAGATCTGTGTGGCGCATATATATCTGGTGCCTCCTTGTACCGATATCTATGTGTTAAAATAAAAATAAATAAAAATCATTTAGTCTTAATTTATAACTTTTCAGCATATTGTTCATCAGAATTTGATTATCCGATATATAATTGACACACTTTAGATAGACATTTTCAAATTAAATCATCATACAATACAAAGAATTTGACAATTCAATCATCATCACAATCATGTGAATCATATAACAGTAATAAATGCATAAAAAGTAATACAATGATTACCTTGATTTCTCGTACATTTTTGACTTGCTATCATAGAAGATGGATTTATCGAAAGACAATAATCACTTTGTGAAATATTCGAACTATTTATTTTATTTGTGTCATTTGAAGTTGTCATGTTACATTGAAGATTTTCATATCCATGTGCATTAGAAAAAGATGTAGTAGATTTACAATGATAATCATTTTGTCCAAATGAATAAGAATATTTAGGAGAATCCACTGAAGAATATGATATTATATCAGAGACTAATGGAAAATCTTGCAAAAGAAGTTGTGTTAATGACGTGAAAGGTGGACTAGGAATTACATCTGAATTATGTTGAGCTTCAGATATACCAGAATTTTTTCTTGTACTAGGCGGAAGAACTTCCTCAAATTGTGAAGCATGTCGAGTTCGTTTATTACCGGGTGATATATGTGTACTGTATGGTGATGAAATTGATTGTGTAGTTGCAGGACCACTACGACATCTTTTACTAGTATTTGTCGTTGGTTGATTGTTGTATAGATTATCTAGAGAAACAGCGATTAATCGACATTCTGATTTTCGATTATTCAGTTGTCGTTGTATATTATTATTATTATCAGATCCAATAGTATTTGTAATTATGTTAGAAGTGTTTAAATCAATTGTATCTGGAATAAATTGAGAGGTCACAGCTACAGAACGTGGTAATGTTGGAGAGGATAACTTCAGTAAATTCTAAAATAAATTTAAAAAAATATTTAGGAAAAATACTTATTGAAGGCCCAATTACATGTATAACTATAACACAATTGCCAACCTAAAAAACAACACCATTTATCATGTTAAATTAATTTCCAAATAATATGTTTTAAATTTTATCAATCTGTTCTATATTTGATTTTATCAAAATACAAAACGTTAAGTGTATAGTATAGAAATGCTGGCTAGACCTCATCCAATAGTCTGTTCTAAAATATAATTGTACTGTAAAAATGTAAAACAAAAAAACAAAAACAAAACAATTGACTGTTTAATAATTCCTATATCTAACATACTATTACAAGTAAAGATAAACATACATTATAATGGTTGTCAATGTCTTAAAAAAGAATATATATATATATATATATATATATATATATATATATATATATATATATATATGGGAGAGAGAAATCATTTAACTAAATAAGAAAAAGTGCATTATTGTAATGTACATAAGAAAATAGTATCGATTAGTGTCATTCACAATAATCTAAAATGTTGAGATTTTCAAAGGGAAAAAAAACTGTGCTGATTTTATTAACCAATAACTTTTTTTAATGTGTAATTTTATGCAAAGAAAGTTAAGATAGACTGGATAGTTGCATGTTAATATTCGATATTTTTTTTACTAGATAGAGTAAGTGAAGGCAAATAACAAGGAAATAAACTACACTGTTTTTCTACTTGTGAATAATGAGGTTAGACGTAGGGTATTAGGAGATGATGGTAAATCAGTTAATGAAGTTATGAATCTTCATTGACTGAGATGATTGGGCCACGTGTTGCGTATGCCTGAACACCGATTACCACGACGCGCAATGCTCACTGGTGTTAGGGATAATTGGAAGAAGGTTAGGGGCCGCCAAACCAAAAGTGGCATCAGTGCTTGAAGTCACTAACTTCTAGTCTTAGTCATGTTGGTAAATACAGACTACTCGGTTGGGGTCCGCATGACCATCGTAACCAATGGTTGGAGACTCTGGGCTATATGGCTCAGAATCGGTCACAATGACGTCGGTGCATACACTCTGTCTTCCTTGAAACTAAGAGATTAAAATCGCTTCATATATTTCTTTCTACCAACTAATTCTTTCTTCCTGTATTATCTCCTTATATGCAATCTTTCTTTTATATACTACTACCCTTGATGTGACTAATTCTATGAATCGGGTGTTCATCTTGTTGTGCTAATGCGGTATGGCAACTTGAACCGATGCATGTATGTGCCTGGTCCTACGTTGCAGCTGACTGACTAACTGACTTGTGAATTCGGCAACGAGCCTCTCCGAAGTGACTTTCATACCAGATGAAAAACCAACGCGTTATCTCTATGCAGAAGTTTAAAGCAGGGGTCGGTGTTGAAAAAATCAGGTTGATTAATGAAACTTTCTGTGAACAAGTAATTATTCTGGCTAGTGTAAAAGTAGGTTAGAAGAATGTTAGACATAGTATCGGTTCATGACATCATGGACTGTTATCAGTAAAGTTAGTAGACAGATGTAAACTTCCTGTGCTAATGTGCATATACAGTAGTAATTAATAACTGAAAACTTTAAAGAAGTAAAAACCAATTGTAGTCATTGTTTGGTTTTTTCTAAATATTGGGTTGTGTACACAAAAAAACTAAAGAGAAATGGACACGTAGTGACCTACTTTTATCAAGAGAACGCGGTTGGTTTAGTGAAAACAATTATTATTATGACCAATTGTATCAGTGATTGTTTAGCTGTGCTAGTGACAGCCATATTGCTCTTCCATTATCCTCCATTACTTTTCCGTGGTTTATGACTCCGTACGCACATACTCTCTACTGCCGATTCCGCCTGTACCCATTTTGGCACCATCTCGGTGTTCGTTCGACACCACGAAATCACCCACAAATAAACTTGGTTTCGATCTATTCTCGCCTTCTGATTTATTTGGCACATGTTTCTTTGTAGTGGTGTTCATAGTTAACCAGGAGTCGACACTACGCAACAATTGGTGAGCTGAATTCAGCCAAATAAATCAGAAGGCGAGAATAGATCGAAACCAAGTTTATTTGTGGGTGATTTCGTGGTGTCGAACGAGATTGTGCCAAAATGGATACAGGCGGAATCGGAAGTAGAGAGTACGTGCGTACGGAGTCATAAACCACGGAAAAGTAATGGAGGATAATGGAAGAGCAATATGGATGTCACTAGCACAGCGAAACAATCACTGATACAATTGGTCATAATAATAATTGTTTTCACTAAACCAACCGCGTTCTCTTGATAAAAGTAGGTCACTAAAGGACGAGTTCGCTGTCAGGAGCCTCGGTCTGATCCAGTCAGTGTTATAAGTGAACAGTCGTTCAGTGCTCTTTAATCTGCAATACCATCCTAGATGAGATCAATCCGTGATAGATAAAACTTAAAAATAAAACTTATCTCCACTAAACTCTTTGAACTAAACATTGACAGAATCAACGCGAAATACGAATCAATTAAGTTTATTAAAATACTCAATTGACAGATTATATTGAAATTGGTAATAACTTACTCCTCCATCATAAGTATTTATATCGGTATGATGCCCAACAGAATGATTTTTTGCTGGATGCAGTAAACGCTGTTAGTAAAAAACAAAAAGAGAATAGAAATAAAAAATAAATCGGAATTCAGTCAATAATATATTTTAGGATAATAATAATAATAATAATAATAATAATAATAATAATAATAATAATAATAATAATAATAATAATAATAATAGAATTAAATCAATATTAGGAAAAACCAAATAAGTTGTTTAAACTGTATCCATGATAAGCTAAACTTACAATTCGCTCGCACTCTCAGACAAACTTACTCATTTTCTTAATAAAACAATCAATAAAATGAGTACAGTTTGGTAAAGTACTTTTTTTCCATAATTTCATATTGTAAGGATGTACAATTACTGTTAGTTTATAAATATAGAGTTGTGTATGGTAAATATAAGGAAAAGTTACAGTATCATTTATTTTAAATAATTTGTCAAGAAACTTAAATTAACAAATAGAAGTTGATAATGTTTCATGTAAAACCAGGCACATATATGCACTGGTCCAAGTTGCCATATCTCATTAACACAACAAGATGAACACCGAATTCATAGCAGTAGTTACATTAATGGTAGCTTGAAACAATGCATTCATGTGTCTGCTCCTATGTTGTAGATGACTTATTCAATGTTTCATGGTTAGTCTTTGACTTATATAATTAACAAATTCCATTATTGATAGGATACATACAAATCGCATAGAAATATGACATACTTAAATAATATTAATAGTATCCTACAGAAGTTTACAATAAGTCCCCTGTGTATACTAGACTTTAATGTAAACTCAGAATTTTATTATTTTGATATTTTGTTGAGACAAAGACTAAAAGTCATTTTCTATGCAAAACCAACCTAGAATAACTGTACAAACTTTAAGGTCGAATTCTAGTCAAGAGGAATAGAAAATAAGTTCATACTCTTTATCCACAAGAGTAAAATGAGTAAGCAAGAGGATATAATTGATAATGAATTCAATAAAATTCAACAAACATTTGAGGAAAATGGTACTCATATTAGGTTTAATGACAGGAAAGAACCTCAAACTAAGGAAGGAAAGAACTCCTACAGTGCTAAAGATAATTATGAATATTGAATCCAAAAGGAGATATGGTAGCAACATTTTTTGGTTGTTAGTTTTATTTTGTTTTATTAGCGAATTCTTGAACCACCCGTTCACTCATACATTTCCGCTCGCTTGATTTTCTTAAATTATGTGAACTCTTCAAATTCCATTCAATTATTACATAATCCATCTTATCAGTTTTTAATTCCATGAATTTTTTATTACCTTTAAAATTATCACATCATTTATCTTATCTGTCTCTGAAGTCCATCACTTGATTCTAACACCTAATAACCTCTGACCTGTTCTTGCACATTATATATATATATATATATATATATATATATATATATATATATATATATATATATATATATATATATATATATATAGTTATTATTGATAACCTTTATCATTCCAATCCTTTACATTCACTTATCTCAATTGTTCCATACTATTTCTTATCTCCATGTTAAATCCTAATACATATTTGGTTGTAAGCAGCTGACAAGAAACCACGAAATATAATGAATTTATATTATTCTGCATCAATATTTGTTCTGGCTTTATTTAAATTCATAAAGGGACCTAATTTCATGAAAATTCATGTTTACTTTTTTTAATTCCAAATATAATCAACTAATAAATGCAGGTCATTTAAGCGGTCAGAATTCTAATATAGAACATGATCAATGAATTATTCAACACTGAATAACATGACATGGCTCAAAATCGTTTGCAATGGCGCAGGTGCATCCCACTCTCTGTGTTCTCTCAAACTCTAATCTTCTGAATTCTTCATGTCCTTTATTTTCTTTACAAATCTATTCCACTGGATTACACTCCTTAAATAACATCACCAAACCCTAATGTTCCTGATTACTACTTATAATTTCACTACCTCTACCACTACGGGATTTGAATCGATAACTGAATCTCTGTGCTAATGTGGTATGGCATGACTATCAAGTATATGATAGGTAGAGATTCCAAAATAAATACATGTCAAATCAACTAAACACTTACAACTAATAAACTCTCAGTTCGTGGTTGCGGAGAAGATCGAATTTCGATATATGATAAATTCGCCGACGAAGTAACAGTACCGACAGCAACAGTAGTCGTTGTCGTAATCAGTGAACCACTATTACTGGAAGATAATGAACGATTATTGATTTGTAGTTCGGAATTAATTTTTTGTTGTGACATGGATATTGGGCTATAAGTAACTTCTGTCAAAACAGGTGAACCATACTGAAAACTGTGCGTTTGACTGGAAGATGCCATACAAGATGATGCTCTTGGTGAAATCACCTGGCTGTGCAACGATGATGGTGGTGGTGATATTCCAGAAATTGACTGTTGCTGTGGCTTATCTCCAACTTTGGACTGACATAATGATGGTGGTAATATGCAAAGATCAGCTTCTTCAGACAATAACCATTCAAGCATACAACACTGTGAATTAGTTGATACTCGCGGTAAATTACCAGTAGATGATGTGTGTGGATTTTCACTAGAAAGACTATTATTAATGTTGTTGTTGTTATTATTAAGTGATTGTGAAACAATCCGTTCATCTGTCTGTTTTATGCATGATGACAATGGTGAATTACTCATAGTTTCATTACAAGATGAAGATATTTCTTGAACCTTTAAGCAAAACAGTATATAAAAACAAGAAACTGTGATAAATACTTACGCAATAAGACTAGACAAAGAAAAATGAACTCCATCCTACAATGTTAACCATGTTCTGAACGTTTTTATCATGTTCAAAGTTAGTCGTAGGACTTAACAGAAAAATTATCCCCACAAAAAATACAAAGAAATCAATGAAAAACAGAAGATGAATGATGAGCAAATTGATCCGATCCACAACACTAAAAATTTATGTAAAACACTACTGGAACCCATAAATTAGTCAATTTTATGGATGAAGTTCTATGAATTTACCTAATTACGTTTTCATCAAAATCAAGTCACCAAGGTACTTACAAACAAATATGCTATCAATATTTAGAACATAAGACAGAATTATCTGGATTGCTAACAATTTTTAGAACTATGTAAACTGATTTCAACTACTGCAGTTTAAACAAACTAATGTAAGCAAAAACTTAAACAGCACTTTTATCATAATAAGAATTCTACACACTAAGTTCAGTACATTTAAAACGTTTTTCGAGGTTTTAGATGGTTGAAAGTAGTCGGAAGGTAATTATCCATGGCCAATGGCGTTGGTACTCGTTAACAAGGTGTACCTACAAACTTGGAGAAACTGATGCTTCTGTTCTGATGACTATTTTTAGCTACCTAATATATCAATATAGCGCACGCGTTGTTGAACTAACCTAATCATTGGCTATGTTACAACTTGGTCAATAGGATTTGACTATCACTAAAAAACTAGACAAACAAGATATTTGTTCGATATAATTGAGTGATCAACCGATTGTAATGATTTTTAAGGAAATCGAATTGAATGAAGTATAACAATTACAACCAACTTACCGTATTCCCTGCATCACTCATTTTAGATGAAGTTACACAAGCCGCAGTAACATTAGGACATAATACACTTGAATTACTTTCTACAATATCGGTCTCATTGCGAAACAGTTTGTTTGTTATTTCAGATGAAAACATTTCAATGGTAGACGATGTTGTATCACTGCTACCGACACTGGAGCATAGTGACTTAGTAGATGGTATTGTTGACAAAACAAAAGGACTAGTGAAAGAAACATTCGTTCCTTCAATGATGTTGATGACAGAATTGGAAGCTGCATTTTTTTCTTTGGAGTAAAAAAAGCAAAACAAAACAAGAAAACAATCATCAAGTAAATCATCGACATCAATAGGTGTCTATTTGGGTGATTCGTGATGAACCCTTATCAGTTTAGAGAATTATCAAACTGACTAAAAGTAATATCCTTGTCGCTTGTGTACTCTTGATGATACCATAGATGCAAACTGTTGGAAATGCTTCAGGCTTATGAGGAAGTGGCTCAGTGGTTAGAGAATTCGGCTAGTATACACGGAACCGCATATCGGAATCCCGCTATATCTGCTACAGTATAGTCAACCGGATAGTATTACCAAAATGAGATCCAGTTGGTCAGTAATAACAAAATGTGGTGTGGTTGGTTGGAAACTTCAGTTAATGACAATTAGATTTTATTTCGGGATAATTTCCTGAATCGATCAAAAATATTAATATTAAAAGTATTTTTCCAGGCTTACCATATATAGTAAAGTCAAATAGTTAAACTTTATATTACTTCCTTCTTGGAATTAATGATACAAACATTTGTTAACTATTTGATAATTTCCAATATTATGCGAAATGTTACTTCCGTGTATATTTCTGCTAAGTTAAAGATCTATACCACTGGCTCACTATCAGCCTATGTAAGGTGAACTAACTATTTATGATACTTATTCTTTATATTGAAAAAAAAACAGCATTTGTAAGTACAATACCAAAGAGAAAAGAAACGATACCATAGGATAAACTGTAGGCAATTTAAAAATCTCGAAGCACCAGTAAAATAAATCCCTAATGAAGACATTCATTTTAACACACACTGATCCTTGATAAAAATGGAGACTGTTGTGAGTGAGAGAATATTGAAGAAAATGTAGTTTTTGGTAATGATTTACTATTTATTATCATCGATATTTTTATTGTATAGTTAGTAGATAACTGTATTATTGTATTTATATATTCCCTTTATTGTGAGCTGCCTACAGACCTATTAACTATTGTCATACGTTTTACTATTTCTTTAATTATTACTGACTAATTACGTATTCCTAGCTTCATTCCTTGCCGTTTATGGCATGATTGTATGGAAAGTATGATCCCTTATGTGAGGCGCGTTGAGGCCAAATAATTTATGCATATAGGCTGGGTGGTTAAAATATGAGAACAGAAGATAAGCTGCTAGTTTATTAATTCGAATTAACGGACCAATAGGAGTGATGTTTACTTTAGCTCAAGGTTAATCGTATCAAGTAGAACGCATTATTGATCAAGTTTTAAGACGCTAGACTATAAATGTAGTAGCATATGCAGGGTAGAAAGTAAATTTAATCGAAATTTATTGGCGAGTTGAGCAAGTAAAAGGGACTAGCAACTTAAATATGACAAAAGCAAGGAAGCCCATTAGAAAGTAGCGATACTCAACATATAAATAATATGGAGATATTCAATCCATTAATTAGTCGTAAGTAATGACGTAAGATCTGCAATATGAATGTATATAGGTTCAAGTTACAACACCCATGTACTAAGTACGGAATTTTATATTCGACTTTAAGTCGATACTTACTGAATTGATTTTCTTTTCTTGAAACAATAATAATTCGAAATAAAATATATCATTGAACTCACCATTTTCATCATAGTCTAACGTTGATAATCCCAACTGTTGATTATTATTCGATTGAAGCATTACAACATCATCTGTTTTAAAACATGAATCTATTTCTGACCTAGGTTCAGGTAAATTATCTGTGATAAATGCTTTAGGTCCAAGATATTGTCTAACAACTTGTCGAACTCTACGAGCAAAATTTTCACGTACAGCATTTGACACATTATGCGATGAAGAATTCGGAATAGCAGCAGCAGTAGTAGTAGTAGTAGTGGTAACTGGTATTGTGGAAACTGACGATTTCAGAGACATTCCTGAATCACATTTAATAAGTCTATTCATTTCCTGCCATATTTGACGAATTTCTTGTATTGCTTGGGGTGGTAAAAGATGTTGTAGCATTAAAATTCTAAAAACCAGAAAACAGAAAGCAATACGTAAACATATTTAGTGATTTGCATTTAATAATCAAATTTATACGTGAAAGTATGTGCATACAATGAAGGCATTACTTTAAAACATTGTTCAACCGATCAGAAGAGTCGAATTTATGCATATGCTTTTTTAATACAAATAGAGAATGTTAGAAAGATCTTGAATGATCTAATTATTCAATTAAGATTTAACGTAAATCCAACTGTCAGATCTAACAGAGAGCAATGACAAAAGTAGTCTTCAGGAATAATCATTTAATTTTACCGTTAAGTTACAGTAATGTAGACAAAAACATTCCCTCGAAGAATAGTATGAAAACCTATGCCTGATATGAGCAAATATCGTTTGTGATCAGTCAGTCATTAACAACGTACGACTTGACACGAGTATACATCGGTTGAAGTTGTCACACCTCGCATCAGAACAGCTAGACGATATTAAACAAGACAAAAAGTATAGAAAGGTAAATAATGTAGGAAACGATAAAAATTTAAAAGTGAAAAAAAAACTTAAGAAAGATCAGATCAGAATATGAAAATTTAGCGATTATACTTTAACTCAAGATTCGACAAAATATAATAAGTGAATGTAACTGTCATTGTGACCTATTTTTCTCCGTTTCATATAATATCTCAAAATAACTGATTATGAGTACAACGAAACACATACCTCAACTACCTTAGTCGATGAACGTTTGTAGACAAATAGGTGGACTTACATTCTTTATCTAGTTCTCTGCTCATAACTACAAAATAACTCACTCAGTGGTAGCACTATATATTCAGAATTCTTTTATGACACCTCTATTATCAAAATACTTATAATTTATAACTTTCTATTAGGGTTATTATTAATTTCCTTTTGTCTGTTCCTCACCTTGCTAATTTTGAACCTCGAGTTCATGTAACATTTAACAATTTGTACTGTTTTGAGTTGTATATAACTGATTGATTGAAACTGTATATATAAAAATACAGATGAAAATGTTCTTACACTTCAGAACAATCGTATCAATTGTAAATACATCACATACTTAACATTAACAGTATGTGGAGAGAAAATCAACAAACAGATGTAAAACAAGAGAGAAGATAACAAAACAAACAGGAGTAAGAAAAGACTGGGGAAAAACATAAACAGGAATAACGAAGCTTTGATTCAGCTAATTGTTTGAATCCTTCATTTTGTCATTTATAGCAAATTCCTGGATAATAGCAAAAAAAAATATGGGAAAATTTAACTGAAAAGCTAAATTCATTTAAATTACGCTCATCAGATACAGATTTGTGTAATTAACTTCTAAGCCACAAAGTGTGAGTGCTAATGATACTATCCAGTCGCTTAAACCGAAGTGGGTAGTGCAAAATAAGAACCTGTGACTTAGTGGTTGAAAATGTAACGCCTTAACTATTTGGCCTTCGTTCCATTTATACTAACAGTTAGAAGTGATCCAAAAAGAACTGTTGACACAAATACAGAATGTCACCTAGAACGAAATAACTCATCAATGAGGATAATATTGCCCATAAGGTTAAGGAGGTATACTTTACCCGAAGCGTGTGTGAGAAAAAACTTATCAATAAAATACATCTACTAATATAGTGCACAAGAACCATAACAAATTTGATCAGTAAAATGATCTTACCATGTGGACTACTCTACTACTAATTTATCTATTTCGCATAATAAACAGGTTTAGTATCAGATGGGGTTTTGTGGAGATTTGAGTAATTTCAATAGTTGAGATCATGAGTCAATTGAAACTAGACCACCATGGAAAACCTGGAAGCACTGGACAGCTGTTTCGCTCTATTGTGGGACTCCTCCTAGGCAGTACACATCCACGATCCAGCTACGCAAGATTCAAACACAGGACCTATCAATCTCGCGAGCGAGCGCTTAACCACTAAACCACTGCGCCGACCAGCATCCAACGGTGTTAATGTTTAACTTCAACTAATCCACGAAATTGAGCGACACATCCACCATTGTCATCAGTGAGTTACTATCTCACAACTGACCCGATTGAAATGCACTAGCCACTGTTTCTCGCTAGAACTCCGGGAAATACCTCTTGAAGCCAGTCCCTAGTGAGCATATGTTGATTAATATCAGAAGGGGTTTTGTGGAGATTGTAGTAATTTTAATAGTTGAGATCATGAGTCAATAGGACGAAACGGCCGTCCAGTGCTTCCAGGTTTTCCATGGTGGTCTAGCTTCAATTGACTCATGATCTCAACTATTGAAATAAACAGGTTTATCAAAAAAAGAGAAACTATTAAACAACAAGCAAATCGTTCTTCTTTTTCTTAAAAGTTATTAACTACTATGGAACAGGTATACATTCAATCAATCTACAAGTAACAAGTATAGAACTTAAGAAACCGGTATTGTAAATATGAGAGACAGAGATATATATTTGCAAAATTTAAAAAGGTTATAAAATCTATTCTCTAAAGGAGTAATTCATATTAAGCTGCAAAACCTCTAAGAATTTAATTGCTCTTATGCTCATTTGAATAGAATAATTACATAATATCAGGATGACAAACTATTTAACCAATGTTCATACATACATATCATTGAAAGAAAGCCATTGAAACTATAAATCTCAATTGGCATATATACGTGACAAATTACTCTATGTTTTTTTGTCAAGTTTACAATTTTACCAAAAATATAATACATATATTATACCTTTTACACAATTATTACATAACTTGTAAATCAGAAAATTTACAAAAATAAAAAAAATTGATTGATCTCACAATAACCATGAGATAATTTCTATTGATGTACATTAGAAAAAGAAAGAAAATTTTCTAAAAAGATAACAACACATTAAATGTATATATATATATATATATATATATATATATATATATATATATATATTTGTCCTACATAACATTGATGAATCGGAGAAAAACAAAGAGAATCTGTTTAAAGATTTGATTTTGTTTCTAGGGAGAGAGAGAGAGAAAAAAACTTGTTGAAAGGTTGACATATTTCCGGTAGAATACTGAAAGATGATGAGGCTGAAAGCAATTATGAAACAACATTATCATCTTCAAATGTAAGTACAGGTTTGTGTACTGAATATTTTAGGATGACATTGTGTAGTATGTATTATTATTATTATTTTAACACATAAATATTGGTACAAGGAGGCACTAAATACATATGCGCCACACAGATCTCATTTGATATGTGTGAGAGCTGTGATGCTACACATGTGCCCAAACCGAAGCAGGTGGTTTTCTTAGGGGGGCCACACTCCGAGCCTTCGACCTGAACGTCTGATCCACAAGGCAGTGGAGCATCGTAAGGAGATGCAGTCCCATGGTAGCCGGTGACCAACGATTGGTTCATACTCCATTTGTTTCCTCAGGATACTGGAGCCCATGTGCACCATTGGTTTGGGATCCGGTTAAAGCGCCGGACATTCGCTTTTCGTTCTCTCATTTTCGTAAACAACAGTAATGCCACGTGAAGGCAGTGATTAGGACTTCCCTGGCAGAGGCTATATACGCGTGGCCATGTGAGAGTATTTCGAGAGGGAGAGCGGACTCTCCCCACTCTCGACCGTACCAGGGCGTTTGGGGGCATTGTGTAGTATGTGTGAAGATTAGTGATATTATCCTGAATATTTAAACCTAAATATGCAGTGGCGCAGAACTGGAACTCCTGAAGGCTTGGTAAAAAAAAATGCCGGCTATTGTTGCCAAAGTAACAGTAACTTTGAAACAATGTACAAGACTTATTGCTCAAATGAATATTTTTTTGATAATGTTGAGTTCTTTGTAGAGGACAATCTGATTATGAAGCTTTCTTTTTTGTTATTCTAGACAAAATCATCACCGCTTTTACCAACTTAAATTGTTATAGTTCGATATTTTCTTTTATATACACATATTTGGTTATTCTTGATAAGAAGAAATAATTTACTTGAAATTCGAATAGAGGTCGGTGGAAATTAGATGCCAAGTTATTAGATTATACAAAACATTACACATCCTTAACAGAAACAAATGCAACATTGGAAAATTACTGAATGAGCATATATAGTAAGGAATTGTTTGTTTTACCTTATTTATCTTTGATAATTTTGATTATATCCCTAACGAAAATCTATCTAGGTGATTGGTTGGTTAAGAGAAACGTTGGAACTAATCGAATTTCAATCGCTCAAATTATTTATAATACAAATATGATTTGACATTATTGATGTTATAAAGAAATACGAAAAAACAGTATAATGCATCAAGTATTTTAAGTTTAAGCCCGTATCAATAAAATTTCAAACCAATACTTCTTATCTATTAAAATTTATATAACTAACAATTTGATCTATGATATGATCAGGTTGTATTTCAATTCCTTATCATCTAATAATCAATTCAAAATGATCGTGAACTGAACATGAAAAACGATGTTAAAAAAATTGCACACTTCATATAATTCAATAATTCACAAATATATTCATACATGAATGTGATAACTAATGAATGGGGTACTATCTGTTGCATATACTTGTGCTCTCTTTTCATAATAACCTTTAATTAACCGCATGATTTCATTCGATTTGTTACCTTTATCTCTCCCTATCCATCTATTTATCTATACAGAAAAAATAAGTACATAAATCTCTATTGAAATGTCGAATAAACAAACCCTATTCATCGATGCATATAGTTCTATATCATGTGACAATTATTCACAAGTCAATAAACAAGATCATATGATTGTAATATCATTGATTCATTTCATTCAGGAAGAATATTACCGGAATCTATAAAACGACGAACTAATAAAACAATAAAATAAACAAATAAGATAAGGATAGACAATACAAAATTCGATATATATATGGTTGAAATACTATAAGTTACATATATAAGTTTAAAATGGAATCGATTCTCCCCCTTAACTTTATATGGTGAAATTACATGTAACAAATGTAGTTTTCAACTGTCAATGTACCGAGAGTGGGAAGTATACAGTAAACGGAGCTTAATAATCATATTAAAGTTCATATATATAAAGGGGAAATTAAGGCATTGATGAAAGAGAGCTAGTAAATCTACTCATTAATATTAACACGTTAAAATGGAATTTCAATAATATAAAGTAAAATATTTAGAAATCGATTATCTGAACATTAGTTAGACAATAAGCCACATATATATTATCTGTTAGCAACCAAAAACATACAAACTCAACAAGAAGACTTTGAATACTGTGGAGTATAAAAATTTGATCTCTTGTGAAGACAAAAAAACCAGTATAAATTAAATTACTTTCATAACAGATTACAATGTAAAATATACGGAATGTAAACTAACATGACAAATTGATCAGAAATTATTGCGAAATAAATTACTATATAGGAATCATTACCAAATAAACTGGAATTATCAAATCCTCCGATCCTATGAGCCATCTCTTATTTCACAAGGCTAATGACGCTGAACTTATACCAATTCGTTAACGTACTTTATTGTTCTTACATTAGTGACTACAGGCAACTAAATACAGCTTTTATCCTTTAACTTGTCAGTAGTCGATCTTATATCACAAGATTCTCTCGCCCATTTACAATACACAGATGCTATACTTCTCTTTGCTGATGACACATCTCTACAAATTCACTTAACTTCAAACTATCATCAACCAGCGTCCGTTAATGTCCCACACAAATTTTGCAAATTTCATTAATTCCACTCAACTTAAGTCAATTCTGAAGGCCGGATATCCCTCTCATAAACAATAGTCCACTCTACGCACCATCACTTTACTACATTCTCATTTATGGGTGCAAAACATAAACAATACACCATATTCGTAGGTTACTAGTATTCCATCACACCTTACTGAATTCGAAACATCGCTCGTGTATGTTCAGACCATTAACTTAGCAATTCTCAGCTCAAACATAAGATACTAGCTAAATATGCAAAATCGACCGATCAGGTAGTAAATCTTCATCAATTGAGGTAGTTAGAACATGTATTACATGTGCCCAATTACCAAATACCTCACCCTAACACATGATATCATCTGATGTAGGAGTGTTCGGTTGGAAGAAAGCTAACAATGGCCAAACCCAAAACATCCCACTAATCTCCTACAAATTATTAATAATTGGATCAATCTATGTTAATAGATGTACGCTACCTGGTTGCATTTCGCACAACTATCGCGATCGGTAGTAATCAGAGCATTTGAGTGAAATGGCTCAAAATCTTTACTAACAGCTCAAGTGTATTCACCATTTTTCGTATACATACCTAGAATTTGGCCCTCAACATTTTTATGAAAGTCAATGGTATCACTGACTGCTCAAATCAAAATAAGTGTATCGGAATTCAAACTCGCTACCTACTGGTTGAGAGACGATTCCTTTAACTACTACAACCGATCCACAAAACGGTGTGCTTAGCCTAAGAATCAACATGCATTCGGTTGTTACAATTGTACAATCTAAACTATGTTCAAATAAATAATGGAAAATTAATGCTTCATCATCATCATCATCATTAACATCCACCATAAACGAGAACAATTATCTGTCAAGTTATGCTATACATATAGAGTAAAAGAGGAAATACTTAACAAGATGAATTGCAAATGAATTATAATATAATAATATCAATTACAGTAGGGAATTTAAAGAAAGGCGGGGGGAGATAAAAACTGAATCCAATCATAGATTAACATCATCTTTTAAAATTTTATCACCACCATGAAGTTTATATCGACTGACAAAACTGAAACTATGAGTAGTTAACGCCTGATCTGATTTCATGTTTTCCTTTAGGTGGTTTATTAGTATTCTTACAGTCGGTAGGTTTTAGAAGAAATAAATGGGCATGTCTATTTAGTGAACACATGATTCCAACATCGTTCCACTCTTATTTCTTCTTTTATGCAAATCATAATTAATGTAAAGACTAACATATATATAGACTGATGCACGTTGTTATACCTCACGACGAGATGAATGGTGTTGGATTGGATTAAAGCATGCTCAATGCAGGATTGCGTTGGCGCACGCTGATTGGCTAATTGTTGCCTAACCAGCGCTAGTCGATAACTTGGAGAATACTCTAAAAATATTCTCATGTAAAAACTATAAATATACTAACGTTTTTCCTATTGTGCTTCTTACTTCCATCTAACCTTGTTATTTGGAATATAATCTCTTTCCTGTTCAACCGTGTTCTGATTTGGGGACTTGTCGAGTGAATTGGTGTCCAAGAATACTAAGCAATAAGAATAGCTGGGTTATAACCGTAAGAGAGAATTATAACAAATGGAGAAGGAATCGATTACTTCTATGTGATGTGTGTAATAAGGTTATTTGAACTAATTCAATTCAGTATGAAGTTCCATATCGTTATCTTTTTCTGTTTATCATGAGATAAATAAACTCAGCAATTTAATTACAATTCATTACCAAGTACGAATTAGTGTACTTGGCCATGAGTTATATTTGAGTTATATAAGGCTTGGTAACATTTACTACACGAATTTCCAAATTGAAACAGATCAACAGAAGGGACTATTTAGCATGCGGTCTACTGTAGTTGACAGTCAGGTATCTTTAACCACTAAGCTACCAACAATCATTAAAAATCAAACGTAAGGAAATCAAATGGTTAAGATTTAAGAATCAAATACGGTTTATTATAATTATTATTGAGTTGGTGTTAGATGTTAAAAAAAAAACTAGATGTTATATGATTTGATGTACACATTATGAAAATACTTACCTATCAGACTCACTGAAAGATAGATAACGAAATAAACGTTTTAATGGAACAAGTGAAAATACAACAGAATTTTACTGAATCTAGTCATAAAATGTATAGCACATCTTGATAGAATTAACTGGATTGATATCTTTAAGTAAGAATATCAACATAGAAACTAAACAGGATTAGATGTGACATTACATTTTAACCTCAATCGTTGAAACAATTAAGATCACCGAAAAAGATACCAATGCAAACGATAGCGAATGAAATTAGATAAAATGGTTGATGCTCTTTTAACTAATTAATTTCTGGAGTAATATTTTTCAATGAAGGATATATGTAACGGACAGATAATGCATAATTCAGAGATTCTTATTTTTTTAAAAACTATGTAACAGCATAACAAAGTAGTAACCATAGTATATCCACAATACAAAGGGGAGTATGTGATGATAGAGTTTTCTGGTAAACTGCTTAATTATTCCTTAGAAGCAAGTTCCTATCCTATCGGTTACAATTAGAAAATGAATTTCAACGAATTTACCTGTGCATTATAGATCTGGAAAAGAGGTTATTTAATAATTGACAACAGGTTAAAAAGGCTAATCAATACATCTTCAATTTTATCAATATCAAGAATAACCTACCGTCTATCGTATTGATTTTTATTCAGTGATCTATGTTGTATACTACAACTATCATTTTGATGATTTTCATGTATTAGTTGACGATTGGTAGTATTATTTTTTGGTACATTATGAAGACATTCAGTGAAAGAACTTCCTGTAAATGAAAAAACGTAAAAATTCTTAATTAAATCAAACCTAATTAGACAGTTAAGATAAAACTTACAAAAGAACGAACATAACTGACGCATGACAATATCTTATTCTCTACAAAATAATTTATTTTTACAAGACACCTAATATTAGCCAGACAGAATTATCATCATTCGATTGTAGCTTTACAATTTTTTTGGTGAATATCTTATCCATGGAGCCCAAATGCCCTGGTACGCATGAGGGTGGATTTTACGAAATTGAGAGGACGAAAAGCGAATGTCCGGCACTTTAACCGGGTTGGTAGATACGGACGATCCACCTAAAAGAGTTGGTAAACCCTCATTCTCAAGCAATCGTCTTCATGGGCTCCACGATCCTGGAAGTATCATCTCTAGTCAGTCAGTCAACTAAAACATAGAACCAGACACATATATGAATCAGCTCAAGCTGTCATACCTCAGTAGCACAAGATGAACACCAAATTCATAAAAGCAGTTACTTCAATGGTAGTAATATATAAAAAGGACTGCATATAAGGAAATGATACAGGAAGAAAGAATCAATTCGTAGAAAGAAAGGTATAAAGTAATTTTAATCTCACCGACCTAACTCAGATTTTATGAAATTGAGGAGGAAAAGCGAATGTCTGGTACTTTAATCGGGTCGGTAGATACGGACGATCCACCTAGAGGAGTTGGAAAACAATGGGACCGCACCTCCTAAGATTGCTTCACTACGTTGTGAACTCCACCTCTGGGTCAAGACTCAAAGTGGGCGCCCAAACAGTATCCCTGCTCTCATACAAATCAAATGTAAAATCGTACGTGTGTTTAACACCCAAATAACGCATATATCTATCAGACAAAAAAGGAAATGAACTTACCATCATTAGCATTCTCTGTAGCAGAGTTAATTTCATTATTTTGTGGTAATCGGATATTAGTGAACGATAAACCACTCAGAGATGGGCTGGTATTTCCAGTTGAATAGACAACAGCAGAGTTACTGTTGTGATTACTATTACTATTGTAATGATAAGTATTTGAGCGACTATGAAATTCTTCATTACAACTGGAAGGTATAAATTCTGTATCAAAATGTTCATACACCGAGTCACCACTTATATCCGATAGTAATGAGTTATTGTCACAGTATGTTCCAATCACATTCGTATTTCCATATTGCATTGTATTGTTCTCTGCAGTTGAGGAGTGCTCTGAATGAGATTGTGAACTTGACTTTCGAACAACAAGAATCGGTGATTTAGATATGTTATCAGATTTTATAGCAGAAGATGACGACGATGTAGGTACAAACTCAGTTATTGTTGATTTATCATTTTGATGACAATAAGTATGATAGTCATTATTATGTAGATTTTTCCCAGTATGGATAAGGGGATGATGATGATGGTGGTGGTGGTGATGATGATGGTGGTGCGATGGATCTAGGTGAGATTGATAATCATGATTTGTAATCGTCTGACAAGTTAATGAATTGTAATTTGCCGAATCTTTATGATGCACACTTAAGCCACAACCAACATTATCTATATTGATCTTTCTTTGATTCTAGAGATGATACAAAACAAGAAAAGTTTAGTTAGAAGGTCGATCTTATATATTAATGAACAATTATTATAAGATTTTAGGGAACAATCTGTAGTGTATCAGTCAGTCATAAGTAACGTAGGATGAAACACATGTGTTTATCAATTCAACTTCTTACACCACATTAGCACATAGCGATGAAATTGTTAAGAAAAATTGCATAGTGGAAGTAGGAACATTATCAGCAGTAGCAAAAAAGTCTATATATATATATATATATATATATATATATATATATATATATATCAGTGAATTCGTGAGATAGAATAGTAAAATATAATTTCGAACCTCAAGATCTAAAGGAAAACAAAGATTGAAAGGATGTGGGTTATTGTTACCAATTTCGAGCCATGTCAACCCAATGCCTACAACTATTGGTCACGATAACTGTGAATCTCAACCAGGTAGGAGGCATCTATACACACGACTCAGACTAACAGTTAGTGACTCCGTGGAATGATATTGCTTATTGGTTTAGTCACCCCTAGCCCTCCTCCAACCAAGCCTGCACATCGACCATCATCGCGCATTGAGGTAAGCGATTGTTGAGTATACGTAATACATATCCTAAATGCCTTAGCCAGTGAATATTCACTGCCCTAACAATCGACTTGCCATTCTTATTTAATGGACGGTGTCTAACCTCAGAATTACTTACTTGAAGGTTTCAAAACATATGACCAATGGTTTGAAGTTATCCATGACCAAATACTACTAACCTACGAACTTGTAGTGCATATAAACTTCAGATATATATATATATATATATATATATATATATATATATATATATAGCGGAGTAATCTATCGACGCAGGAATGCGGTTTTTGAAGTAACTCCTGTGAGTTAAACTGCTTGGCCCTGAAGATTAATTTCTTAAGGTTATTATTGACTTAGTTTGTAATCGCGATTGATAATTGAAGGAAAAAGTATAACTAGTTTGTTAATTGGTTGTAAATACCTAAGACCTACAGGGAGTCAGTCGGGATTCGAACAGCTTAGTGATAATGTCTCAAACTATGAAATTGGTGTTAGAACCCACAAGGAAGTATCAGTTCCCTCAAAATTCTATGTACGTCTTGATGACAATTGCCAATTAGCACAAAACCGAGGTTCAAGGTTTACTATCGACTATCACCAACCACCTACTGTATAACTAATTTCATGCACACTACATTGAATACATCAACTATGACAATTTACTTAAAATATTTGTCTTGTTATCTTAACAAGTTTACATTTGCATTCATTCAACTGAGAAAATGAAATCAAAACGTAAATACTTACAAGTCTATGTGAGGTATCAGAAGACCAAGTAGATTTCTCTCCGATAGAATTTTGATGAGGAATATGAGAAACTATTACAGGCTGAGGTGAATCATGAGAAGTATTTGGCGTATGATGATGACGGACATAATGGTGATGATGATGACGATGATTGTTGGTAGTTGATGTTATTGCTGTGGCATCGTGAATTTCATTAGGATGATGATGATGATGACAATGTGTAAGGTGAACGTGATGATGATGAGGTAATACAAGGGACGATGATGGTGGCGAAGTCGAGTTAAAAACCAATGTCTGCCCACTAGTAACAGATGGATCAGGTGAACTGATATATGAAAGACAAGTACCAGTGGAAAGAGAAGGATTTTTACTACTAACGTTGGACGGTTCATCGATTCGGCAATGATCATTTACAGTCGACATGATTAAGTGTGATGATATTGGGTTTTCACAAACAGATGAACAAGGAACAACAGTATTTTTAAATGAACTAGAGAATTTTGTTTCAGTCAAATCCATAGACAAAGTGGATTGTGAAATAGACTTCTTAAGACATATTGATGCATTTGAACCAGTGGATTCTACACTTTGATCACATTCACTAAAGAAAAGGCAAAAGCACGAAAGAACACATTTAGAATGAACATATTTTCCAAAAAATCAATAAAATCATAACCAGTCATTCATTCAGTTATATTCAAACTAGGAATTCGGCATAAATTTATGTCGGTCAAAATCGTACTATTTTACAGTATACGCTGATGATATTATCTACAAAGTCAGATAATGAGGCTTCCACAATCATAGTTCAGGAAATCCAACATCACTAAGAAAAAAACACTTCTTCAACAGTACCACAAATGTATCTAAATTGAAGCATATCACTACTGAAACGTTCAAAACAATTTTTATCCAGCTAACTAACTTGAACCGAATAGAAATATTAGCACAAATCGCATAAAATTTCAACAACTTTTCAAGGTGGTTATGCATTAGTTCTAGGAAATTAATTTGATATGAAGTATGAAACGACAACTACTGTTGTTACTACTTTGTTCACAAGTGTATTCCACTAGTTTATGATGCTTATGTATCACAAACACTAAAATAATATTCATTTATTCACAACTGTCTGATGGCTTGCAACAAATTAACTTTTAGAAATACCGATGAAAAACAGTTTTCTTTCCTATCTAAAATAAGGTAAATCCTGAATAAACTAGAAACTAATCATAATGTACAAATAGTAGTACGCATTCAATACCACGATTGATTGAAGGTAGATAATAACAGCGTTGGATACCGAATCAGTGGTCTAGAAGTTAAGCGTTCACGCGCGAAACTTTAGGACTTGGATTCGATTCCCACGTGCAGAGTCGTGCGTGTGGACTGCTGAGGAGTCCCATACTATGACGAAACGGCCGCCCAGTGCTTCCATGTTTTCAATAGTGGTTTAACCTAGATCGATCCACGATTTCAAGAAAATATCAAGAAAAGCATTTTAGTAAACAAACATACCGAAGAAGATTATGATAATGCACTACCATTGGTTCACATAATAATATATCTGATTGCAACAGGCTTGAATTAGTACAACGATTAATAGGTAAACTAAACGTGTGAACATAAAACCATTTTCGACCCAATTTTACACGATATATAGGACAATCAAATAAATGACGATTGGAAGAGTTTTCAGAGGAAATTAAACTACTAGAATTAGATGATATAAATTTTTTATGTTGTTGATTCCCAACTGTTTCATCATCACTGTTAATTGACAGTACACTTTGTTCAAGTAAATTATTTTGAGCATGAAACCAACGAGATGCTTCATTAAATACTAAAATGTAAAATAAATGAAACAATGACAATTCATTAAGAAATAATAGAATAACTTTTATTTTCAGCCTTAAAAAAAAAAGTTATGTAACCATTTGATGAATAGGAATACGTTTTTCTTGTCAGTTTCATTTATTTTATGAATTAATCTCTTTTCTTATCTTACCACTGCAGCTTATGCTCCATTAGGAGTAACAGGCGTAAGTGAGTAAGTAAGTAAGTATCTTACCACTAAAGTAGTGTTATAATCTGTACCGATGAATAAATGAAATATATCTATTCACTATAAGAAATCTATACACTTGAATGGAATCAGACCTGAGATGAATTATGCTAATTCCATCAGTAATTATATTTGTATATTTTATAGAATTAACTTCCTGAAGATTTTAAAATTTAATACACACACACATAAAAAAAGAAATGTGTATATTTACAATTGGATTGTTTGTTTGAAATTTACACGCTTCCTATCTCACGAAGTAATGCTAAATTAATGGTAATAAAGTACTAAATTTTAAACTAGAAAGTCGTATGTATGATTCTGGTTCCATCTACTTTAATTTGGACAATCGAGTACCAATAACCCATCAAAAACGACAAAACGTTACTCAAAAACCGGTTACACAAACCATCTATCTAGTAAGTGAGTTGCCGCACCATAATAAATCATTATGGATAGCAATAAATGACTAGTGGGAAAGGAGAATTATTCAAGTGAAGAGGGAAAAGACAACTTTATTTGAATGAGTATAGTTTACTTTTAGAGGTATGCTTCTCCCAGATTGCTAAATCATCATCTTGAATTCTACTAGTCCAACTGTCACCAGTTTGTAAATTAGCATAATCATTATCATCGCATTTGTCATTGTTATCTAGGCAAAAACTGTGTTGATTTGGAAGGTTTCTACATAGAAAAATAAATGAATAAATAAAAATATCAAGGTAAATAATTGCTAGTCTGTAAAGATTATTCACAATATCTACAATTAATAAGAGATTGAGTGAAACACCTTGAGCGACGATCAACAATCACCACACTATGATTCAGTGCAATGCCCCGAAATGCTCTCACATGGCCATGTGCATACGACCACTGACAGGGAAGTCCTACTCACTGATTTCTGGTGGTGGGGGTTTGTTTACGAAATTGTGAGGACAAAAAGCGAACGTCCGGCGCTGTAACTGGGTTGGTATGGCAACTTGGACCGATGCATATACGTGCCTGGTCCTACGTTGCAGCTGACTGACTGACTGACTGTAACTGGGTTGGTGGTGGGTATGGAAAATCCACCTAAGGGGGGTTGGAAAACACTAATTACAAACCAATGGTGCACATGGACTCCACGATCCTGAAGGAACAAATGGTGTATGAACCAATTATTGATCACCAGTTACCACCGGATTGCATCTCCTCACGTTGCTCCACTGCCTTGTGGATTTCAAATCTAGGTCGAAGGCTCCGGGTGTGCCCCCTAAGCAAACCACCTGTCTCCGTCTGGGCACCAGGGCAGTATCAGAGCCCATACACAAATCAAGTGACTTGTGTGGCGCATATGTATTCGGTGCCCCTTTGTACCAATATTTGAGTTTAAATAAATAAATAAAAATAAAGCAGGGTCAAAGACTAGATTGGCAAACAAAACACTTAACATACGTGATGCAATGTCGAAAACACAGAATTGGAAAAACTCAGGTGATATCCTTAAAAAATAACTGAGTTGAATCATAATTCACTATACTACACAGGTGGATGTTTCTCTCATTAGTAAATCTAGCAGACGTATCATTAACACCTACCTAAACAAGTGAAAAAAGTCAACTTTGTTTTATAGGGATCGCTCGTAACCAGAACTTTGTTATCGACATAAGGGTGTCCGCAATTATTCTTCAACACTATCATCCAACGCCGATAAACCTGACAACACTCCAACCAATAAGAACACAAATTTGATCCATGACTGTTTAATGGGAAATACCACTCTTTATGTATGTTGATTGTTACTGATATTCCAACAATTTTAACTTGAAACCAATTTTATGTTCAATGCATGTCATAACTGCGCAGATACTGTTACGTTTGAAGAGGCTACAATATCAGTTGGGACAGGCGAACAGAACGAAAGTCAGTAAAACAACAACACGCTAAGCCAAGCTATTCCACTGCACCCCGACCCTGCTAACTAGGGCGAGAAGACCAGATTTCAGCTGAGAAAAACACATGTTCTACAAGCAGCCGATACACAAACGAACAAGCACACAACTTATGAGTATATGTACGGTAAAAAAAATGTCCTTAGAAAACGTCACAAAATAGCGTACTAAAGGAGGAAATGAATCAATGACATTTGAGGTCCTTCCAGTTGGGAAAAACAAACAGCTGTGTTCTTTAGCCTTCCTTTTTACCGTTTCCTTTCAGGATTCCAAGTTAGTGCTTGCCTCATGATGCGAGAAGACAGTGAATAGGAATTCCCTGACAGTAAGTATATACGCGTGGCCATATGAGAGTATATGGAAACGAGTGTATTTATGCCCCCAAATACATACACCCGACTTCGTTAAATTGGAATAGTGTGAATAGATTATAAAATAATTACCTTGCTATCAATCGGTCTTCGTATTATCAGATAATTAAGAATTGAAGTAACTATTACATTATATATATATATATATATATATATATATATATATATATATATATATATATATATATATATATATATATATATATATATATATATATATATATACAGTCTAATTAGTAAACCTGTGACAATTGAGTAGGGATTTGCAAATAATGCTAAGAAACGTCCCAATTACTTTGTAACTTATTTAAGCACACAAAAATCTTTCATATTCACCTACACTTTCTCAGTTTCAAGGTGTAGTATTTTTAAGGTATTTCTTTTATAACTCAATACTCATTAATGGGAACCAAGTTTACAAACTACAATATACGTATTTATTTATTTATTTATTTATTTGTGCAAATGATGAAAATACATAGGGTTTATCATTTTCATATGGCTAATCAAACCTAAAACAGTACCACAAGTGTGAATCCTTAATTCGATAATTGCAAAGCAAATACTTAAAACTACTGAAATACTATTCAAGTTGATTTTTACAAAAAAAAAGTAAATTGTGCGGTATGTTCATCGGGTTAGTAGTGGTTAAAGCGGTTGACTTTAAATCATTGAGTTTAGCAAATACACACACTCACACTTACTTATTTTCAGTTTAGCCCTATCAACTAGTATCACTAGTGTTTACACACACAGACAAGTAAAAAGTTACTACCAAGTTATATCAAGCAATATTTTAATCGGCTAACTAATTTTCTATGCACATATCAAGCGAAATATAATGATAAACACCATGAGCTTACTTGTCATAATATAATATTTGTCCACTTCGATTAACCACAGTTATAATAACATCCATCAATCGTTGGTGATAATTCCAAGCACTTTGTTCTTCATTATCCTCTGGCAGAATAACATCTGTGGGCAAACTCAAGGCAAAGCCTCCATCAGATTTTGTACACAATTTGGGCAAATCAAACGGTAATAATTCACTTTCGTTATTATTACTAGTAGTATTACTGTTATTATTGCTCTGATCAACTGCATTATGTTTTTTGTTGTGTTCAATTGAAATAGGAGAAGAATCGCTAAATGATGGATTACGCAAATGAGGGGAATTCGAATGGTGAAATGGAGAAGGCTGTGAAGAAACAATTGTTGGAAAGAAAATCAACAAAAGTATTCAACAATCATAACAGCAATAACATCTCAGATTTACTTAGAAAAAATATCGAAAACATAGAATTCAGAGACACTAGAAAATTTAAACTGTCGAAAACTAAACAACCGAATGAAGCACAGAGGATACTACGCAAGGATATCGAGCCGCATGATAATATCGTGAATCTTCATCAAATGAGGTAGCTAGGGTATGTATTGCGCATAATTGACCATCTCACACCTCGACGGACAATGTCAGTTTGTGTGGTAGTAAGTAAGGACGAGAAAGGTGGTGACAGCGCAGCCAAACCAAAACGTGACATTAGTTTATGGATTTACTAACTCTTGAACTGAACTATGTTGGTAGATGCAGACCAGTTGGTTGGCGTACACATGGTAACTGTGACCAGTGATTGAAGAAGTTGAGTGACATGATTCGGAGTCCATTAAAATAGAGTAAGTATATTCACTCTTTATCTTTCTATACACCTTGAGTTTCAATATTCATATAAACACACAACTTTATTCTGTCTTTTCGAAGTATAATCTCAATGTTCAGTTTTTTTTCTTTGCTATTCATTTTGTTGATGTTATCTTGTCGTGCCAGTGTGATATGATAACGACTAACGTACATTTATACCAGGCAGTACGTTGATTATGACTGACTGACTGACTCAGTAAATTTGCCTTAATTTCCCAAAGAATATTAATCGAAAATCAGTTTGTGATGTAAACTGTCTCTTCGAATTTAACATTTGTCTAAATAAGTTAACAATTATTATTGATCAATGTAAATCGAGATAGATGACAGTAAAACCATTGATCATAGGAAATTAAGCACACAACGTTAATTAAATATCAACATGAATCGCTTTTTGAATAATTGTTCGCATCTTGTATATAATAGCTGCAGTGCACGGACTACTTCATAAATACTGTTCGTTAACTTGGAAAAATAGAAAATAATGCATGATATTTTATGGTATTGATTGTTTATAACCGACGTGGAATGTTAACAAGTGTGGAACTGTCTAGAAATCATTATCTTTGTAACCAACTAGCGTTAAAATGTAGTTACCACCTTTTTTATCTATAACAATAAAATGTATTAGGTTTATTACAGTGAGGAGTATGTGATGCATCAAATGAAAAACAACCTACCATACAATCCTCTCCGCTTGAGTATTGAATAACAAGAGTGGATTGAGGTGAATTAGTAGGAACATAATCCTTTTGAGAAATTTCATTATTGAGTGCTGAACCTTAGAAAGAATAGAAATTATTAGACAAAATAAAAATATTAATAATAAATGAAAGTAAAACCAAGTCACGTTCCCACTACAAAATCCACACGTAAATTGAAGTGCACAACATCAGTCAAATCAAAATCCAATAACTTCATGAACTAATCCCATGTGTTGGTTTGTTTGTCCAAAGTCCTTTCCCAGTTTACGCTAATGTTAAACAACATAGTACTTCGAGACGTGGTGGTTATCTATCCTTATTAAATGTCCCAAACGCACCAATCAGTAAAGGGTCGTGGACCTAATACATAATTTGCCTTCTAAGCTTAACACTACTCCTTATTTCTGTATTAATTATTTAGTGGTTCCACCATTTGTAAGCACTGTTTCGAAAACAGGTGAGTAAACACCAAAGCGTACCTTCGGATCCTATGATTCACATTTCATTAAACATACCGCCTTCTTGTCTGCTAAATAGGTCATGCAAGCATCGTGCATATGTGCAAAGATTTTGTTTACCGCTGCCACCGACATATTAGAATTGGTGAGACATCCAACTCAACTGTGTGATGGGTAGAAACGTAAGCTCAACATTATCGAACCACTGATCGGAAACAAAATAAAATGACTTAGATTAGTTTACGATTTCAGTAAAATTCAACCATCTCCACATCCCTTATAATGAAGATAAAGAAAGTAGAAGAGGTTTTGCTGTTTCAAGAAAGGCCAAACACTGTTGCAAAATTGTTGTGCACATACTTAACAAATGGCTTAAAAACACAGAAAATAGCAGCATAGCAAAACTGATCCGACAAAACGATTTGATATAGAGGCTGAATTTGCGGTTTGTGGTATAATCAGCTCAAAAATGTAACAATTAAGAATACAATGGGGACTAAGCATCACTTCCAAGATATTCCCAACGGATATATTCAATAGAACTGATGCGATGCACAAAGATTAGACTTACCAGCTAGATATCTTAACTGATTGGGGGACGAGTGACCTACAAGTTGATGGAATTTTGTTCCACGACCAAACCATCCAGCTCAGAGAACAAAATTCCATCAAAATCATCCACCTGAGCTACAAATCTTCTCCACGACCTACAAGTTGATTCTTATGACCACTTATGAAATTTTATCATGTTTATCCTTTGATAGTATTCTGCATAGAAACGTTATTATATCAATTGAAAAATCTTTTTCTTCGGGCTTAGTGGTCTTGTCTTTGGTTTCTAGCCATTGGGGTATGGCAACTTGAACCGATGTACGTATGTGCCTTATCCTACGTTGTAACTGACTGACTGACTAGCCGTCGGGGGCCTTAAGTAAATAATACGGTCTCGTAAGCAGTCATCAACAAGCCACATTATATAACTGCTTATCATTTGTCGATTAGCATCCCACTCATTGATTTTAACAATTGAAGATTTCGTCTAATCAATCATTAATAAACTCTTTCATACCAAGAATATCTGAATTGAATGTTTATTGTTCTTCGACGTGTAATATAAACATGTTCGAAGTAAATCATTATTATGGAGAACGTTATTGAACTTAAAGCATTAATCTTCATAATACACATGGATTCATTTTTCGTATCTTAAATATTAGGCACATACATATATATTTGTACTCTTTATTTTGTAATGTAGCGACTTAAACCGGATGTTGTAGTGTTTGATACAACAGTAAAGAAAACTAGTTTCGGAATTTTCAAGCAATTGATTCCCTTTATGAATTGTTGTTCTTGTTTTATTGTCGGAATTCCTAGTAATCAAATGTTCTACTTTCCATAGTTAATGAAACAATGCCGAACAATGATCAAGTTTTACACAATCATGTCTTCTATGCACATTCATCAGGCTCTTAAAGGCGGAAAATGGATTGGATTTTTCTTCTTACTCAGTTCCAAAGTTTTCAAAAAACAAGGTGATTGTCTTTAAGTTCTATATGAAATGCTACATACACATTGGAGCGAAAAAGTAGGCAACAAACCTCTTAAACCAGGTGAAATATGCTCTTCATTGCACGTATTGGTAGTTGGTGATAAAGACAACTGATAGATTGGACTGATTTTAGAATACAGCGATAGATTATCAGAGTTTACGGGAGATAACTGATTCTCTGTTGAAACACTGAAACCTTCTCGACGTTCAAAACAACCAGGTACAGAAGATGGTCTGGTACAATGAGATTGAGAGGCAGCAATAGCAGCCATTTTTGCAGGGGGATGATATAAATTTTTCGAGGCAGATTGGAATGCATTCACATTTAGACTGTGTTGAAGTTCATTAGGTGTGATCATAATTATCGAATTAGAAAGCGCAACACAATCCACTCTGTCCTCTTTAACACCAAAGTTAATGGCCGAAAAGTTACGTACATTCCTAGATATAAAATGAAAACAAAGATAAGGAATAAAACTGGTGAAAAACTAACAAATTAGCAAATAAGAAGGCTACGTATCTTTTCTACAAACTTATTTGGAAGAAAATATTAGTCTTTCTTCTTGAGCTGATTAACTATGATAAGTGGAATTTCAAAAAATTTCACTTACAATATTTTCATTCATATAGTGAATGAAACCATCTAAGTACTTTGTTCAATAAGTTGAAAATATCGACCATTTTAACACATATTCCCCGGTATTTAGTTATGATAGTCAGAGCAAAAAGCACTGACAATTGATACAATGTAAGGTATCTAATTAATTTTAGATGAGTTGTCAGAGTTGTTATTGACTTTTTTCATGTCGACTTCGTAAATCGTCAAGGTTTACGACCGTATCTGTCATTAAAAGGCATACCGGAGAACATCAGCCTTGAGCAGACTCTCTACACAAACATAACCAGTCGAGTGTTTGTGAATCGCGTTGTACAACCTACCTATTTTTATTTCACGCACATCAATCAACTGCATACCATGGACTAGCCCATGCGGTTGTGGTTGCACTGTTTCTTGTACCTACTCTCACCAGTAATAAATCCTGTAATATCGTTATGTTTGTTCTATACGGTCATCAAACTAGCCATAATATCTTGATACGACGAGATAGTATTCCACATTATGCATCAACTGCGAAGTGTAAATTCGACACAACCTATGAGATTACACCATTCCCATTCAACTCGAGTAAGCTTCACAATCATTGGCACAGATCACCTATGTTGGTGATCTACAACGCTTTTATAGTCTAGTTTTTTGAGAGTTGATTTCCTACGAAGGGATCTAATTTTTGACTTAATACGCGAATAACATACTCATGTACCCAGGATCATCTAAGTCCCCTTCAAAACAAAGAGGGCATTACCCTGAACGTCATCCAATTCTATGCGCCTACCAACGATTACAATGAAGACGTTGAAAATCAATTCTACGATAGGCTGCAGTCAATCTTTGAGAAACACCCAACAAAGGACTTGACCAATCTGATGATAGACCTAAATGCCAAGGTTGTAATAGGCATCACCGGATATGAAGACATCATAGGACGACATGGACTAGGAGAAAAGAACCAAAATGGTGAGATTTTCAAACATATGTGCCTTCAACAAACTGGTCATAGGCGGCACCATATCCGCACATAAACGCACTCACAAAATCACATGACTTCACCGGATCATACTACACAGAACCAAATCGACCATATCTGCATCAATAAACAGTTCAGAATGTCAATGGAAGACGTAATAACCAAAAGAGGAATTGATATAGTCTCAGATCACCACTTGCTGGTCGCCAAGATAAAGCTGAAACTCAAGAAGCACTGAACAACGGGGCGGACAACATCACAAAAGTTTAAAACGGCCTTTCTTCGGGATAGTGACAAACTCACGATCTATTCAATGGAGAGGGAACTACCATGGAGAACAACTAGAAAAGGATCGAGGAGGCAATCATTTCAACATTTCATGAGGTTCCGGGTCACAAGAAGCATTATCACAAGGAATGCATCACTGTTGATACACTAAATAAGACTCAAGAAAGGAGGAACAAGAAGGCAACAATCAATATCAGCCGAACAACAGTAGAGAAAGCCAAGGCACAAGCTGAATACACAAAAGCAAACAAGTAAGTGAAGAAGAGCACCGAAGCCGACAAACGTAAATATACCGAAGATCTAGCAATGACGTAGGAAAAGGCTGCAAGAGAAGGAAACATGGGACAATTCTATGGTACAACAAAGAAACTCGCTAGAAATTATCGTAAACCAGAACGACCAGCGTAAAGCAAGAAAGGTAAAGTAATTACCAACATTGAAGAACAGCGAAACAGATGGGTAGAGCACTTTAAGGAACTTTCGAATCGACCAGCCCCGCCGAACCCACCCAACATCGAAGCAGCACCCATGGACCTCTCAATGTTGGCCCACCAACAATCGAAGAGATCAACATGGCCATCAGACAAATCGAGAGCGACAAAGCAGCGGGACCAGACAGCATTCCAGCAGAGGCGCTGAAAGCAGACGTAGCAGTAACTGCAAAGATACTCCGCAATCTCTTCAGCAAGATTTGGGATGAAAAACAAGTACTAACAAACTGGGAAGAAGAACACCTCATCAAGATACCAAAGAAAGGAGATTTCAACAAGTGTGAGAACTATGAAGGTATCACTCTCCTCTCAATACCAGGAAGTCTTCAATAGGGTGTTTTTAAACAGAATGAGGGACTCCGTAGACGCCCAACTTTGAAATCAACAGGCTGGATTCCGTAAGGATCGATCGCGTACCGACCAAATCTAGGTCAAAGGCTCGGGGAGTGGCTCTCTACTAAAACCACCTGCCTCGGTATTGGTGCTCGGGCAGTGTCCCAGCCCTTACACAAATTATTTGATTTGTGGTGTATATATAATAGCCTCCTTGTACCAATGTTTGTGTTTACATAAATAAATAAATAACCGGCTTCGACCGTTTGAAGTTTTGTGAATGTTATCTTAGCGATTTCCACACATTTGTCGACTGTGTAAAAAGGTGTAATGGTCGGTTTATGACATGACATCGTGGAATGATGACCGCGTGAAACTATCGCTTGCCACCTCATCACAGCCCCACCGTTGGAACCCTATAGATCATGCAACTCGGCGGCTCGAGATGTTACCAGACATGTCCTAGAGTTGAAGTCAGTGACAACCCAAAGGTAGCTTCCGACTATAGCTGTCATATAAGTAAGATTAAACTTCTTAACTCAAAGAAATCCATCCTGACTGCTTGCTTATTTGGACTGAAAATCTTACTAAAGACTTTTTGCTCGTCCATTTATTGGTTGTTTGACCTTATTATCTACTATTCTTTTCTGTCGCTGTTTTACTTGGTTTGGTGGGCTTCCAAGACCATAATGTTATAAATTATTTACCTAATAAAATAAATGAAACGTATGTTTACAACTATATACACCTATTATTATTATTTGAACACATAGATATTGGTAAAGGAGGCACCGAATACATATGCACCACACAAATCTCATTTTATTTGTGTGAGGGCTGTGATACTGCCCGCGTGCCCAAACCGAAGCAGGTGGTTTTCTTAGGGGGCCACACCCCGAGCCTTTGACCTGAACGTCTGACCCACAAGGCAGTGGAGCATCGTGAGGAGATGCAGTCCGATGGTAGCCGGTGACCAGTAATTGGTTCATACGCCATTTGTTCCCTTAGGGTACTGGAACCCATGTGCACCACTCCCCTAGGTGGATTTTCCGTGCCCACCACCAACCCAGTTAAGGCGCCGGACATTCGCTCTTCATTCTCTCGATTTCGTAAACAACACCCCCACCACGAGAAGGCAGTGAGTAAGACTTCCCTGGCAGAGGCTATATAAGCGTGGCCACGTCAGAGCATTTCGAGAGGGTGAGCGGACTCTCCCGACTCTCGGCCGTACCAGGGCATTTCGGGATAATCAGAATAATTCAAGTGTACTGAAAGCCAGAGCAGTAATGGCAATCTGGGCCATCTTTGATGCCTTCGCGGTGTTAGTCTGGCTGTAAAAGGTCGGATCTACAACGTGTCGGTCAGAGCAGTTTTGCTGTATGCTTGTGAAACCTGACCTCTCCAAGTTCAGAATGATAGACGACTCTCTGTGTTTGACCATCGTTTTCTCCGAAGGATTGCTGACATCCAGTGACAACACCAAGTTAGTAATGCAGAAGTTCGGCATCGTGTGTTCGGGCACAGACGATAATTCAATTGGTGTCGCTATCCTGAAACACCGACTTGAATTGCTTGGACATGTCGTACGAGTGTCGTCTTACAGAACCTCACGTCGCGCATTATTTGGGGACGCTGGGACCGGTTGGAAATAGCGGAGAGGTGATCAATGCATGACACCGTGTCGTGATATTAAAGCTGTACAAGACTGGCTTCTGTCGGTCCTTCACAATTTCCTGATTGGAGTCATAAAGATGGTACAACACGGCGACTAGGGACGTCATCAGACATGGCTCAAAATGGATGTCAGCGGCGATCCTAGTGTAGCTTTTCCTTACTTTCTTCATAATAGTGGACGTAACTCCCCTAACCGAAGGAATTCATTCTACTTATATTTTTTACTAACTGAACTATCATTATTATTTCACTCGTACACTAATTTCTGTCTATTGTTGATCCTTTTTATTATACGCACATTACATTCTGTCTCTTTGCTACCTCACTGTTGTGAAGCGCATATATATTTTGGTGTCCCTTTGTACCAATGTTTGTGTTCAAATAACAAATAATAATGTCTAGAACGGCAATGAAGACAGTAGGAGACAGAACCAAATGTCCGACTGTAGTAAAACTATGTCTGTACCAGACTTAGGGCATGTGTTAGCAATATTTTTACTCCCGTAGTTTTCATCCTAATCCTCCTTAAATTTCCCCTTACTGCTCCAACAGTAAAGTAACGTGAACTGACGTACATTTAAGTCTACCCGCTACGAGTTGGCTACCAGCGTACGACTCACAAACTTATCTACGCTAAGATCTTACTATGCTACCTGAAGGCTCACTGGATTTATTTGTTAAGCAACATTTATTTGAAACTTATGAGGGAAGAAATTGAAGGAAACTGCATAGGTTAGTGACAAAACTGGTGTTAACAAATCGGGGAAGGGGTCTAATGAAGCATACTCCGACAAATTTTAAGCATTAATAGGACTAGAATTCTGACGTACAGTGTTGCAAATAAGGATGAGCATGCAAGTCACACCATTCCATAATGTCCCAAACCACGTCTGTTAAAATTGTACTAAGGCCACTGCTAAGTTGACAAGTAAATTACAAAAACTAATTCATAAAAATCCAACTGAATTTTAAGGTTCTATGTACCAGCTAATACATGTAATTTTTAAAACCAAAAATAAAATATACAAACGTCAGTTCATGTGTTGCGTTAACGTACCTCCGGTCACATTTATGTATTCTATAATGCAGAGCATAGATTTCAACATATATCCGGTGCATCCATCACTCTGATATTTGTAAATGTAAGCACTTTAAGATGAAACGATATACAAAACCACGAAAAATACTAATGGCTGTTTTTTGAAATAGCAAGTTGATAGTTCAACTCCCCACTAAAACAAAGTAGACGGTACATCTAGCTTTTTTCGCGTTCATCATCATGTTTATCAATATACCGGCTTTTTGAACATAAGGACCTTGAGTTGTCAGGTAGGCCTGACTTGTAGTATGTCAAATGTACGATTCAGGCTGCCATCTTAAGAAATGAAAGCTAAATGACTGCTAGTCCTCAAACTTCAAGCTTTAGGCTTGGTTCGGTATGACTAGAGGATCTTTCGGCCTTTTGATCCGCATCTGAGTGGTAGAAGAGCGTTTTTCATAATAGAAAGACAAGGCTTTTATAACATTTCTCTCATTTACCTCTCGCGTCTTCAAAAAGGGCAATGATTTTGTACTTGTTGTGATTATCCTTGTTTTGTGTAATTGTTGCATCAAAGGCATTCTTGGTCTACATTAAAGTACTTTAGTTAAGGTTTTAAATCTTGCTAAGGTTTGTCTTGTGATACCCTCTTCCTCATTGACTGACACTAGTGTTCATATTGTGTTATACATCTTAATCTGACTAAAATGGTTGGTAGTACTCACAAATGTGGACAACCACATTGTTTGTTCCCTGTGGACGAAAAAAAGCAGTGTGATGAATGCAAAAAATGGTTCCATAAGATGTGCACTCGTCTAAGTCCCACTGCGTACAAAAGATGTTCAAAGCCTAACTCACATTGGCTTTGCATGTTTTTTTGTGCAAATAAGACGTTACTAACACAAGAGGCTATGAGCCTATTGGCTTTGGTCTGTAAGAAAAACGATAGGGCATGCACTGATAACACGAGCACTGTGTCAGTGTAGTACCTGCTGTTACAAGACGCCTCAAACACCCGAATTTGATTGACGGAAAAGTGAAATCTCCGTTAACATTAACGAGGGAAGAAGCACCACCTGAAACTGCCATCGGTAACCATGTACCTCTAGTGGAAACTGAAGATCTGAATAAGACCGTCACTGTTCCGAATAGTCCCGGTGTCCTGAGGGATGAAAAATGGACTACAGTACGGAAAAATCGAAGCGAGAAGAAAAAGGCTGTGGGCAGTGCGCAGGTGGTTAGCAAGTCATTGGTGAACTCCCATTCTGAGTCACAAAACGCACTACCGAAATCTGATATTAAGAGGGAAAACCACCCAGGTGTGACTGAAAAGAACCTGATATCATCGAATATTATTGTTAGCAAATTACTGGAGTCAAGCGACACTGACCCCAAAATTAGACATGCGCATGATTTAGAGAAGTTGGGAGAATATATTCGTAGTATCTTACCGGCTAACTCTAAATGAGTCCAGGTCAAAAAGCTGGTAAGAATAGGCAAGAGGACCAAAAACAATGCTGAACCTCGACCATGTAGACTTCTTAAGGTAATCCTAGGATCAGAGAAGCAACGGAACCTCCTGTTAAGTAATGCTCGTTGTCACGACAATTCCGATATCCGAGTTAGTCCTGATATGTCTCTCGAAGATAGAATAAAAAGAAAGAAAGCACTAGCTGAACTAGAAATCCGCCAACAAAATGGTCTTGGAAGCGAATGCTACCAAGGCCTGTATGGATAGGCCGTTTTACCTAGGAGTCTTATATGCCAACGCTCGTAGCCTAAGAAATAAGTTCTATGAGCTAGGAGCATTAGTGGACAGATTAAGGCCACTCATTGTAGCAGTGACAGAAACTTGGTTAGTCCATGACTTCGACATTACTCCAGAATTATCGGGATACCATTACCTAAGGAGTGATAGACATAGTTGTAGAAAAGGAGGTGGCGTCTTGTTATATATATCCAATAATATAAATATACGCTCCTTTGTTAGCGAATCCCATGACAGCGGTACTTGTGAAGTTATTAGCTGTAAATTGGACATCGGATGTAGTACGTTTATGCTCGGTGTCATCTATCGCAGCCCAATCTGCTTAGCTGATGACTTTATTCTAGAGCACATTAATCTTGGAGTACCAATACCAGATGCTTGATAATAGGAGACTTTAATTCACCTAACATTAGTTGGACTGAAATGACCACAGAAGGATCTATAAACTCCTTTGATAGTAGGTTCCTGATAACAATAATGGAGCATGCATTAGTGCAGCATGTATCCAAACCTACACGTTTTGGTGCTAACCAAGGTTCTTCTCCGTTGGACTTGGTAATCACTCATGATACTGAAGATATTGTCGACCTAAATGTTCTCCCACTGTTAGTGATCACGCTGTTTTGTCATTCTCGTTTAGAACTAGGGACATGTTATACGATCAGGTCACACCCCGCCCAAATATATGGATAGCTAACATATCAGCCATTCAGGAATGCGCTGCTAAGACAGATTGGTTTGTAGATACTAGCTTATCAGTTGAAGAAGCATGATCTGTATTTAAAGGTAAGTTTAGTTTAGTTACATCCTCGTTCATACCATACCGAACAATAGTCCACCATGGATAACCAAACCAGTTAAGAAACTTCTTAGAAGAAGGAAGAAGCACTGGAATATGTTCATCTCTACGGGCTTAGAACAATACCGATCCAGTTATTGTAAGACTAGGAATGCCTGTAAAGCTTTAATAAGCAAGACTAGATGATCATACGAAAAGCAATTGGTTAGGGATTCTAGATATGGTCCGAAACAGTTATTCTCGTATATAAAAAGGTGAACTCAGAGAAGTGATGGAATTCCATCACTTTTGATACAAGAAAATCCGTTAATCTAAGCAGAAAATGATAACGAAAAAGCTGAAGCTTTATCGAAATATTTCAGTAAAGTGTTTTCTATCACTAATGAGGAACAACCAACGATTCATTATAATCGTAACGGCTCGTTGATGGATCCCGTGGTCATTGAGAAAGGTACTGTTTTAAGGCTACTTCAGCATATCAAACCTGATAAGTCCAGTAGTCCTGATAATATTCATCCTAGGATTATGAAAGCTATATCAGACGTAATTGCTGAACCATTAGCGATACTGTTTGACATGTCTCTGAAGCAGTCCAGACTGCCCAGAGACTGGAAAAATGCTATAATAAGTCCGGTGTATAAGGCTGGGAGTAGGGATTTAGTTAGTAACTATAGACCCGTTAGCTTAACGAGTGCAGTTGCAAAACTGATGGAAAAAATCGTTCAGATATCTTTTATAAACTATGTTGAAAGGCATAATCTTTTCTCTAGGGAACAATATGATTTTCGGGGAGTCCTATCGTGCTTGACAAATCTTTTCATTGCAAGAGAAGATTGGGCTGCTGCAAAAGATCAGAATATTCCTGTAGATGTGATCTTCATAGATCTAAGTAAGGCTTTCGATAAGGTCTCCCATTCTGGTCTTAAACTCAAACTGGAACTCTTCGGAATCCATTATACAGTTGTAGATTGGATAAGTAACTTTCTCCATGACAGGAGACAAAGGGTAAGGGTTAATGGGACTCTTTCCTCGTGGGCACCTGTCAAAAGTAGAGTTCCCCAAGGTACAATCCTCGGTCCTCTTCTCTTTTTACTTTATGTAAATGAATTAACAACTGTAGCAAAACCATCCTTTCTACTACTCGCTGATGACATAAAAATTTGGAGACCCATACACAGTATGTCAGATAGAATAGTATTACAGAATAATCTTAGCTCATTGGTGGCATGGTTAGACAGGTGGTCACTTGAAGTAAATCCTAATAAGAGTGTGGTGATGCAATTAAATAACAATGATGAATCGTATCACTATACAATACGTGGATTCGTACTACACAAAGTAAGAAACTATAAAGATTTGGGAGTCATATTAAGTAGTGATCTCAAAACCACTAGTTACTGTAAGGCTGCTGCTGCGAAAGGCTATAGGGTATTATTGTCTATTCGTAGGTCTTTCCAGTATTTAGATGATGAAATGTTTAGATTACCATACCCGATTTATGTGCGACCACATTGCGGCTCACCGAGGATACTTTCAAGAGTGTCCATATCATTTTGGAATGAGTGAGGAAATACTATGATTTCCTAATCTAACTGAGGACAAATGAAACTGTCGAACATTATATGGAAAGTCCTTCTGTCAAACCGGCCCAAAATGCGCTTCAATGTTACCAGTGCAAGGTTTGTTCGAAAATTATTTTCGTCACAGTTAGCGTAAGACTTCAAATCGTACGGTACCAGCACTCTTAAATCTTTTACAACTTGGAATACTTTTAAAAGGGAGTCACCTAAGTCGTAGATGTAGTCTGCAACATCTCATATGGACTACTTTACACTTCCAAGTGTTAAAGGTAAGTCCGTTATCATCAGCCCAAATTTGATTTCCAGACTGATCTTCCTGAAGTGCCAGTATATCATTTCGGTTGCGTATCTCTCTCCAAAGTTTCACAGCATCAGCAAAATGTAATACATCTGACGATACCTGTTGTGGAAGATCGTTTATATAAATCAAGAAAAGAAGAGGTCCTAGCACTGAACGCTGGGGAACCAACCAGTACATCCCCTAGCCCGGAAGAAGTTGAAATTGACCATAACCTTAAAAGGTCGACATTTTAGACATGAAACGAACCAGTCAATTAAAGGTGATTCAATACCTAATCGATTGAGCTTATTGAAAAGGCAAATATAATAATATATTTCTGTCAGCACGGATACCGATTTTACAGGCATGGTCTACAAATTACAACACTTGTTGGCTCACAGTATTCTTCCCATGCAGGGTAGTTAAATAAGTAAAATCAAAAAAGTGAATAACAGTACATACGCACAGATGTCTTGAGGCGTTAATGATTGATTTTATGCTTTAATGCTGCACTGAGTACATTCTTCGAAATATTTTCCAAACGTGTTTCGTGCCTTATGGTAACCCTCGCGTTATTAATAGAAGAAACCAGACTCGTAAGAAAACAGGTCTTTATTTTGATCTTCGCGCAGTCACAGTGGAGCGTGGGATTCCTTACTCAGACAAACAAAACCTCTCAACATAAAATGTAAGATATATAGAAATATAACGCCTAAACAAAATAAAGAAGTGAATAAATATCTGAACTATGCTGTTTTGATATAT